AAAATGTAAGTTTCTTTGTTGTTGTCATATTGCTTTCTAGTAAGAGTCTTCAGTTTTTTTGTTCTGTCAGTTTGAATCAGATTATTGCAACAATTTTTGTAGTTCTGGACTGATGATGTAATGAGATTTGTTTAGGTACTTAGGCATGTGTCAGTTCCTGTTTTTTGCTTAATTTATGCTCGTATTTTGTTAGGGTATAGTGTCAAGACTTCCCATTTTCTTCTTTAAAAATTTTAAGTTATTCCTTCTTATTGCAAGCAAGTTTTTTGAATTTAAGAAGTCACTAGTCAGTGCATGTCGTAAATGAACAAGTGACTGTTGATTTCTTAAATTCCTTTTTGTTTTGCTCTAGAGAGTGCTTACCTATGTAAGCAAGACAAGTCAGAAATTATTTTAGTGACTGGGTGGGTGTGAAATAAGTTATTACTGCTCTTATTATTATTTTTTTTCTGTTTGCATTAATGCTCTTTTGGGTTGGGGGTGGATGGATATATATATATATATATATAAGTATTTATTGTCCTTCATATCCAAATACTTATCATACTTAAAAAAGTACAGTGTCCAAATACTTATCATATTTGTAAATTTAACAAACAATAAATTATTTTCTATTTTAACCCTTTGTATATGACCAATTATTACCGTCTCATATTTAAATTTAGTTATGGGTCTTTGAATTAGGGGATCGTGTTTGAGATAGAGTGTCTTAGAAGGAGTTTTCTTCTTTCTATCTTGTTGAGAAAATAAACTTGTTTTAATTTGATATTATTCATTTATTTTTCCTATGATGTATCTAATGAGTTCATGTATTAGAGATTAACTACAAGTCTACAACTCTATTTTCTATAATGTATTTATCATGTATTGAATTATTAGATGTATCTATAAAAATGTCATGAATAAAGTTTGATGTGTGTTTTTTCAAATATCAGATTCTCTCATATGTTTTTTCTTCCACGTATCTATGGTGACAAATTTAGAGAGAATCTGCAATCTCTTAAAGCTCTTCAAGGGAACTCCTACAATATCTGAGTTCAAAACGTTTTCTTAAAATTATGCTTACATTTTAAACAATTAAATGCAAAGCTAAATCTACTAACTACCCACTAATAACTATCCATTATAATAAAAAACTTGCTTAACCAACCCGCTAATACCCACCAACAAAGAAACTGGTAACAACAATGATAAAAAACTGAATAAACTAAATAAAACTACATTGCATATAGCAGTAAAGCAACTTTAAGTATAGTAGCTCCATAACACCAATATCAATTACTTCAATTCTTCAAACATTTATCTCTCTTTTTATTTATTGCTAACTCTTTATGTTTTCAAAATTTATCTACCACTAAGGATTATTTATGTAATTAAGAAAAAAATCAAATTCGGTGCTTGGATATTGTAAATTAAGAATAATATTGTCAATTTACTTGATAATTTATTATTTAGACAAATTAAATAATTTTCTTGGCATATGCGAAAGACCCAAAGAGAGTAAAAATTCCCTCTGCATTGATAGTTTGTATTGTGTGGCATTTAAATCATAGTTTCACATTAATTAAGTAAATTAAACAATTATTTTATTGAAAAGTAGTAGATAGATATAAATTGCTAAAATCTACCCAAACCGAATTTTTTATAAGCTATTGTTTGGATAATCTTCAAATCCAACCAAATTTGAGAAGTTACAGACTTATATATATACCTATTGTTTTTGGATTAATCTTCAAATCCCAACCAAATATGAGAAGTTACGACTTATATATTATATATATTTATATATATATATTATATATTATATATATATATATAATATAGTATATATATATATATATATTATTATTTTTCTTCTCATATTCGTTGCTAATATATATTATTTTTCTTCTCAGATTGTTGCTATCAAAGATATCATACGACCTCCCCAGAAGGAGAACTTCAATGATGTTTACATTTGTTTACGAATTGATGGATACTGATCTTCAGCGAGCAATACACTCCAAACCACCTTTGACTGATGCTGATTGTCAGGTATGCAGTATTCTTGTTCTTGGATTGCTTTTTTCTCCAAGTACTGTATAGTTGTAGCTAGACTTCTTTTTTTGTCCTCTTCCAGTTACTTGTGGTTTCAAATTTGACTAATATTTTCCTTAACTAGTCCCAACATCGTTTTGCTTCTCTGAAATTCTTGTCTCCTGACCTTACGAATAATAAGCTGCACTTGCATTCCTTTGGGATATTGGACAGCAAGTTATTTTCACACATCCATCATCACCTCTTTCTTTTACCTTTCTTCACTTTCTTTTTTTTTTAGAGTACTTGGCGGAGATTCGAATCCGATCTATTGTCAAGTCATTCATGCACTTATTACTAAATTATGCCTCAGTGTGTTTTACCTTCTTGATTTAGAAGTGACAGAAATTTAGATGACTTATCAACACATAAACTTTGTTTTTACCTTTGTAGCGCTTTCTATATCAGTTGCTCCGAGGGCTCAAATATATACATTCAGCAGATGTTTTGCATCGTGATTTAAAGCCTGGCAATTTGCTCGTGAATGGTAATGACCTTAAGATTGCGGATTTTGGTTTTGCAAGGACAACTTCGAAAACCGATCCAATGACTGATTATGTTGTTACTCGGTGGTATCGAGCACCAGAATTGCTCAATAGGCAATCACGTTACACTGAAGCAATTGATATATGGTCGGTGGGATGTATACTAGGTGAGATAATGACACGCCAACCTTTGTTTCCTGCAAAAACCTCTACTCGTATGCTGAAGCTTATCAAGAAGGTATGTTTGTGGACATTTCTCAGCAAATCTTCCATGGACTATTTTTTTTTCCTCTACGTTGAAAACTTCTTATTGTTCTTAATTTTGAAGACCTGAAATCTTCTGTTTCACTAATTTGTCATGTATCATTATTGTTTCTTATTGTTCTTAATTTTGAAGACCTGAAATCTTCTGTTTCACTAATTTGTCATGTATCATTATTGTTTTAGAGCCTTGAGTCTTTCTAGGTTTTGTGCTTTTTTGATTTTCTCATGTCATCCTTCTCTTCCACCGTTTTCCCTCTTCTTCTTTCTCCTCCTTACCCTTTTCTTTTCTGTGTCTCCCATCCCCATCTCCATGGCTTTATTTCGTGTGAGTGGTGGAATAACATGAGATCATCCTCTTTGGTTTGCTCTCTTATGCCAGACAAAGCTTAATTTTCAACATGCATGCCACAGCCGCTTAGTTTCTGGCATGTTTGGAAAGGAAATATATAGCTGGTGCATTGATATATGAAATTGCATGTTCTCTATCTATTGTGTCAAATTACTTGAAAGTGAAACATCTCATCTACAATTTTTCTCTTCCTCTAGGTCATTGGTCTGCAAGACGATAATGGTTCAAGGCCAGATTTTGCTACTAGATTTCGTAATATGTTTCCATATGCTCCTAATATGTCTGAAGATGCTCTTCGTCTATTGGAGAGGATGCTAGTCTATGATCCAAACCAGCGCATCACAGGTACGAAGTGACATTTTCATTTTTTCGTTTTCCTAAGAGTATCCCTGTATCAATTAGACATGAGATTAATTTCATAGGTGTTTTTTCCCCGTATCATATATCGAACCTCTAACCTTGCAGAGATTTTCTGCTGAACTAAGTGGATATTACCACTTGAGGCATTATTGTCCTCTAGCAAGTGACAAAATTATTATGTCAGTGTCCATGACAATGAGAACTGAAAAAACTGACAATCCTCAAAATTCTCTCTTTCTAAAGTAGAGAATGAAACAAACTGAAAAAAGAAAAAGACGATTTGGGTTGACTTAAACTTGATTCAATTCGAACCATCTATACCAAGAGTAAAAATTGCATATAATTGACAAATCAAGATGAATATGATCGAGTTTCACTTTTAATTTGCTTATTGACAAAGCTTCTCCCATTTTATTTCCTTCTGTGCAGTTAATGAAGCTTTAAAGCACGTGCAGTTAATGAAGCTTTAAAGCACCCTTATTTGGCACATTATCATGATGTCAAAAACGAGCCTGATTGCCCAAGCCCTTTCGACTTTGATTTTGATGAGTCATCACTTTCTGAGGACGAGATAAGGGAACTCATCTGGGTTGAATCTGAACAATTCAATCCATATCCATGAAGGTTATCCGATAATGTGCTGTACGCACTTTGGAAAATATTCCATGATTACTATGCTTGTTATATTCCTTTTTTTTTTTCTTTTTTCTTTTTTCCACTTTTTAAAGTTAAATTTTAAGAGTAGTATAGAAGTTTGCGGTTGATGGTGATTTTGTTCCTTCAATTATAATTCAGTTTATGTTTGCAACAAATGATTCAGTTTATGTTTGCAACAAATGACTTGTTAATTCAGCTTATGTTTCCATGAATTTATTTTTACTTAATAGATTAAATTAAAATATTATTAATATCATTGCATACTAACTAAAAATAATATTAGAAAAATAAATAATGTTCCTTTCAAAAAAGAAAAATAGATAATGTACTTTAAAGACTACAAAAAAAAAAAAATTAAAAATAAAATTAATAATGGAGGAATTGAAGGTTTACTAAGATAATTTCAAGTAAGAAAACCATAAAAATACAAAATTAATTACATAGTAAATAAAATTAAATCCAATAACTACAAAATTGATTATGCAATAATATAGAAAGATAAAATAGAGTTACAAATCCATGTCTTTAATGGCAATAGTTATTGGCTTGGCAGGTGCTACTACAGGTTGCTGTGACCTTCACAAATCGATGCTCTAAAAGCTGGGAAGCAGTTGGACGTTCCTTTAGATTAACTTGTAGGCATTTCTGGATAAAGTTCCGAGAATTTTCAGAGAGAGAATCGGGAATAGAAGGTGGAATACCTTGTCCGATCCGATACCATATCGACCAAGGTTCTAAATTGGAGTATGGAAGTTTTCCGGTTAACATCTCCAAGACAGTGCAGCCAAGGCTCCATATATCAGCTTTAATTATCCATATTTCTCCTGTTCTTGTCGAATCAATGACCTCAGGAGCGGGACCGGCCGGGAATCCCTCTGCCTGCCTGAGGAGGTTTCTGTAAATTTGTCAATCCAAAATCCTGCAATTTTTTTTTTCCCAAAGGCCTCCATTGGTCTTTCAACAGAATGTTTGCACAACAGAATGTTTGCACATTTCATGTTTCCGTGGATGAAATTTCGTTCATGGAGATACTCCAAACCTTTCAGTATCTGTTTGGTGTAGCAGGACACTAGGGCATCATTAAGGGTTAGTTCTTTATAAACTTTATCGAGGGAGCGTCCATTTACAAACTCAAGAAAAATATAGAGATCTTCGTCGTCCTCCATTTTTGCGCCAAGATATTCAACTATATTTTCATGACGTAGTTGAAGCAATGAATCAATCTCATCCTTCATTGACCTGAATTTTTCAGCGCATTCAAGAGGAACTTTCTTTGCAGCAAAAACAAATCCATCGGAATCAGCAATTCCTTCATAGACTTCTCCAAATGACCAACTTCCCAATATTGAGCCCCTTTGCCAACTGCTAATGCTATCTATTAACCTTTTGACCTGCCAATAATTTATCTTGCTTCAGTTCTTAGCTCATTTACTAGATTAAGTTTGACAATATAACAGCAATTCAAGTTCTTGCAATTTGAAGACCTGTGGAGAACTTTCACTACTATATATATATATATGTAGCAAAATTTACTCAAAAGCCAAAACATGGGGAAACCAAATAAAATTAAAACCAGGAAAATCCTTACCTTCTGGTCGTGAGACAACAGAGGATCGACATGAACGTCTGTCTTCCTTTCTCCACTAATCTTGTTCACTGTACCATTAGATAGTGTTCTGGGTCCACACAACACTTGATTAATGTCTTGATGCTGTAACCCTTTGAAAGACAACAATTCTTTGATTGAAACACCAAAGATTCTGGCAAAGCCATGTGCAAAAAATGATACCTGTTTAAGATATGGCAAAGCCATGTGCAAAAAATGATACCTGTTTAAGATATGTTAGGGGCAAAGTTCACAGTTTTACGATATTGAGAAAAATTCCCAAATGTTCTGAATTATTGAACTTACCAGCAGATCCTTATTAGATCTATAAGACATAGATGAATTGGCCAGCTGCGTTAGGAACACACCGTCCAATGCGACACCTATTCTCACTTTATGTATTAAAGCTAATGCAATCACTTTTCCAGCAAATTCCACAAATTCATAGTGGGAGGGTTCAGGATTAAATTCTGCTTATATAACATGTTTAGAAGTAAGGAAATGATATTAATTTCACCAAATAAACAGTCTTGGATTCTAATTTCATTAACTAAGTTACCATTTTGGGATTGAACTTACCAGGATTAACATTGAAACTTGGAGAATCACCTGGATGTGCTAGGAAAAGGGGATTATTTGGGTTGAATATAACTTCACATGACTTGCATAACCAATCCTGTAATACTGTTACCATTTTGGGATTGAACTTACCAGGATTAACATTGAAACTTGGAGAATCACCTGGATGTGCTAGGAAAAGGGGATTATTTGGGTTGAATATAACTTCACATGACTTGCATAACCAATCCTGTAATACTTGAGGATCTGTAAGACTCTTATGTTGGAATGCCCTAAATTGATCTGTGTACAAATCTTGAGACCAGAAAACTAGCTTCTTCATCAACTCTGCATCTGTAGATTCCTTAACCCCAGGGATCATCAACATGGCCAAATGCATCCTGGAATCACTATCAGTTACATCGTTGTGCTCAAGAAGCCATCGATAGTCACAGCCATCTCTTCTCTGAGCGAATCGAACAATTAGAGCACCTAATGGAAGCTTTGCACTTTTTAATACACTCCAAAATTTATCCCGAGAATCGGGGCAAAGTCTAGAAATGAAGTTAAGTTCTTCCAAAATGGAAAGGTACATAGACCATTCAGGCTGGAACTTTTCTCCACTAACTAGACATTTTTGTACTTTTCCAAGCAAGATCTCAATGTCGTGCAACAAGTTAAAACAGATATAACGAATAGACAATTTTTTTCCGGCATTTTTATATCTCTCTGAAGAAATGGGCGCTGCCTTCTCCTCCTCCTCCTCCCCCTCTTCCTTCCCCTTTTCTTCTTGCTTCTCTTTCTGTTCCTGAATAGCATGGTATAAAAGGCGTGAAAATGCCTTGAAGTCACGAAAATCACTTATTAGTGAGTCCATTCTCTCCTTGGTTGAAGGTGAATTGATGCACCGATGCAAATCCTTCAGCAATCTATCTGCCAAATCGTCAAAAATGGGTAGAATTTGCCATTCCGGGTACAATATTCTATGCCTGTCAAGAAGCACATAATTGGCCTTTTCCGCCAAATCTCTTAAACTGTGAAGACTTAAAACATATAAAGAATCCTCAAGACTAACCATCGTCCTCAAAAACTTGCATAACTGTAGAATTACAGAAGCACGTTCATCAAGAAAACCTGTTGTCTTTTCAGCAATCATCAAATGCAACAGATACCTAATATAATAGTCGGCCTTCTTGCTATCTTTTCTATTTTCTGATGCATAAAGCGGAGCCAAATGCTTAAGAATACAAGACTGAATTAGTTTGTCCAATGGCTCGGGCTCTTTCAAGTTGCCGAGCAAATTGTACATATGACAGTTCATGCATCCATAGCCTACAGTGGATTCCCCATCTCGCATCCTATGTAAGATTGAAACTATTGCACTGATGTTATTGAATGTAGCCGGAGCCATAGCCGGAGCTGTAGCCGGATGCGGATCCGAAGCCGGAGCCGGTATGTTCTGTCTATCAGATGAGGGTAATGACTGTTCGGCTCCGTCATTTGCCATAACGGAAGAACAACCGGATTGATATTAACGGCGGTGAGTGATAATCTTACCTGTGGAATAAATTATATCCTTAGGCGAACTTTTAATATATAAGATCAAAAGTTAAAAAATGGTCCTTGAATACTATCTGAGTCTGAGCATGAAGACAAGCAAACAATAATATAGTAATAATAGTAATAATAATAATAACAATAATAATAATACATATCTCCAAATTAACAGTTTTTTAATTTTTTCACTTAGACAATATTTTTAAACAATCAAAATAGCATTAAATATTTTATTGTAATTTTACCATTTTCTGTATAATTGCATTAACTTTGAATTGAAAGATAATTTAATTAAGGAAAAAGTACGGTAGGTGTCCCGACCTGTTTCCATGGGCCGAACCGGCACTAGAGCCCAGGTAAGTTTAAAGCCCCCGAGGCCAGTAGTAAGCCTAAACGGTTCAACTGATACATGCCACACAATTTAATAGAAACAGTAAGCCCATATAACTTAGAATATAAATATATATATACAATTCGGCGCAATCTCAATTAACTGCTAAAATTTAATCAGGGCCTATTTATGGTCTATCACAATTTTAATATGTGCATACTGATTTACCTGCAGTTACTTATACAATAATTTATAATTTATTTATAATATAGTGCGTACGGTAAGGCCCAATTTAAAATATACAACCCTATAACTGCGGAGTTCAACAATAATGTGAAAATAGAGTAATTAATACAACCCAATTTAAATAGCAGAATTATGAATTTTACATTTGTAATTCTGCGGAGAAGATTGCAGAGCTTCGGTCAATTCAGCAACTGTCTACGACCTAAGAGGTTGAGGGAGTGTGAGTTTTGCAACTCAATGAATAATAATAAATACACACCACATACAGTCATGCAAAATGCACCCTAGTGTACAGAATGAACATGCAACAGTCAATCATATGGCAATGTATCAGCACCCACAATTAACATCACCTTCAAATAATCACGTCACGTGGAAATTAGTCAATGTAGTCACATAAACCCCGACGAGCCATACTCTCACATGGCCCATCCTCTCAGATTATCAGTTTCAGGATCCATATCACAGTAAAAAGTATATCAATATTACGCATTCATATCACAGTAAACAGTATATCACAGTAAACAGTATATCAGTATTACGGATCCATATCACAGATCCATATCACAGTAAACAGTATATCAGTCGGATCCGATCCATATTACAGTAATGTTTATATCAGTATTACCGTGGATAACGGTCTCACAAACCCGTGGTGACCCGCTTCGTACCAATTCCACACAAACAAATCACAGAATGGTCATAACACAAGTAATCAAACAATTCATTCAAACGTGCAATCGTAAAATATATTTATACGGTAACAGTGACATAATATATGTATAAAATGCGGAACAATATAAGGTATATGTAAATGTTATGCAAATGCAATGCTGATACACATTATTTATTATTACTCACAGTGATAGAGAGCGAATCTCTAGCTTTGATTCTGTCCAGGAGGAGCACTAGACGGACCCGGGCGATCCCATGTATAATTTTTCTTGCTAGATCGGGGATTTACGCGTGCCAGATCAAAGCTACATGCGCTGGAAGTGCAAGCAGATGGCCGGATCCGACTGGAAGTGGCAGAGAGAAACGGAGGCGGCGCGATGAGGCTTGACAGACCCGTCCTTGGTGGTCTGAGGCGCGCTGGAGCGACGGCAGGGCGGTGGCGCGACAGATCGAGTGCTCGCCTGGACGAAAACAGAGAGCGGTTAGGGCGGAGGTACTGCAACGACGAGCTACGGCGAGGAGTACCGGTGGCGCGCGATGCCTCTGCTCGAACTGGTGGTGGCGCGCTCTGCTGCAACTGTCTATAGCCAGGAACGCAGAAACGCAGAAGATAAGAAGGAAAGAAAGAAAAGAAGAGAAAGAAGGAAGAAGAGGAGGAGGAGATGGCGGCTGCGGCTCTGCGTGCCGGTGATGTCGCCGGTGGACTGACTGGAGGCGCAGAGAAAATGGGTGAGGGGTGAGTGAGGCATGCGCTGGATACAGAGGGGAGAGGCTTCAGGAAGTAGTTTGGGCTGATTCGATTCGATTCCCGTTCAGCCCAAATCTCGATTTTTATTTTATTTTTGATTTTTCAATTGGTTTTTGATTTGGTTTATTACTGTACGAATTATTAATTAGCATTTAAATAATTAAATACATTTTCAAGCTGTCAGTTTATTAAATTTAAATGGAAAATTCTTTGAAAATAAAAATTCGGGTTATTTCAGTAGGATACATTTGTATTGGGAAATATAACTAATCCGTCTCAGTCTTTTTTTAAAATACATCAAAATATTTTTATAGTTTACTTCCGTCAAATTATAAGATTTTTCCGTCTAATTTTTACATTTTTTTCCGTTAAATATCTTATGAAATGAGGAAAATACCTCTTTTATTTTTAAAAGCACATGTATCGACTAGTTGTATTTTTTAAACCATAGGGTTTGTATTGTAATTTTTTTGATATAATATTTTAGTATTTCTCATTTAACCTCTATATTTTCTTATTAACTTAATAGAAAAGATGCAAAAAATGGATAGAATGACCTAATAGTATAACGAAAGCAAAACATAGAGACAAATTGATATATTTTAAAAAAGACAATGATGAACTAATTGTATTTTGCAAACCACATGGAACTATTTTTTCCTTTAATTAATTACTTTTATTGCTTTTAGATTTGATGTGGTTTGATTTTTCTTAGTTCTCATAAAAAGTTAAAAATTGTCAAATTTACCACTACCCTAGTAATATCAATTAAGAAACACGTCTAATGCTAAAAGAAAAAGTGTCAAAAACTTAGTAATGTTGAGTAACTATTTTAATGGCGTGGTAATTGTTGCTTATGTGTATTCCATATGGGTCAAACTATTTATGTGAGGTGTTAACAATATTTTTAGGCTGAGTATATAAATTTACCTCTGAAATTTGTAAATTTAACTTTGTGGCACTCTAAATTTTATAGATAACCTATCATACATTTTAACTTATAAATTTTGATAATATTACACACTTTTTCGACACTAATATCAATATTTTTTAAGATTTTTAACTTGTATCTGCAAAATATCAACTTAATATGTAGTTAGCATGATTTTTAAACAATAATTTTTATAAATTTCAACTTTTTAATGAGTTTTTAATTGATCTAAGCTTTTGCAAGTTGAAGTATTCACTAAAATAAATTTGAGAATTGAAGTGCTTAACATGTATAATTTCATAAATTGAAGTGTTTGATGAGTCAAAGTAAAAGTTAAGGGTGCCACAAGTATCAAAATTCAGAGGTGCATTTATGTATTTGACCAATATTTTTACAATGAATCAATGAATCACAATATAATTTTCTATGTATCTCTTATTCTTCCTCTTCTCTTCTCCTCTCTCTCAATTTTCTTATGTTCTTGTTTCCCTAAAACCCTAACCCTTCAATTCTGTCATGATCTTTTGACTAGAGATCTTGACATCACTTCATAAGGAGTTTTGATTCAAACTGTTCAAAGAGGTGAGGATAAGAAAGAGTATCACGTGAGGATGAAAGAACAAACGACTAATGTCCTTCAATGCAATACATATAAGGATATTTTAGTATTTTTATTTAAATTTAACAATAAAAATAGAAATATTTAACAAAAGGATTGATTTATTATAGGAAATTAAAATATAGGGATAAAATAATATATTCTCTAAAAAGCAAGGACAAAATAGTTACTTTTGACAAAAAAAAAATAGATATAAAATTATAATTTTTTCAATTAAAATTAACCGTAGATATGCTATTATCTTTAAAAAAAAAAGTAAATTAAATGACACAAATCAAACTTTGTTGTGTTCTTTTTCACCTCAATTTTCAATTAATTAATTAAACCGACATTTTTGAATTAAATTAAACAAAATATACTTTTCTATCAGCATTTTCTACCTAATTTCCTATTAATAAATTAAAAGTGTTGTGTCACGCCTAAACATAAGCAATTATGTCTTGCATGTGCGCGTGAAGTGAGCTATGATACAGAGAATCTTTAGCAAATCTTCGGTGAGTAGTGGCAATCAATTTTTTAAGAGTATTTTTTATTTTAATTTCTTTTTTCAAAAAAGAAAATCACAGTTCTTAAAATCTAATCAGATATCGAATTGATTTTATAACTAATTCACAGTTAGACCGAATCAACTCATTTTAACTGCATTATTTGTCTTTTATTTTATTCTAATTATTTACAAATATTTAACAAATTATAATCATAAATAATGTTATAATTAAAAAGTAATAATACAACATAAATATATAATTGTTTTTCAAATCATTCAGCATCACATATTAACTTTTAACTATTAATTTTATATTCTTTAAAAAAAAACTACTAATAAAAGTTAATAATACAAACATAAAATATATAATTGTTTTCAAAATCATTCAGCATCACATATTAATTTTAACTAATTAAATTTATTATTCTTTAAAAAAAAACTACTAATTATATATATATATATTATATATATATATTATATATATTATGGTATGAATATTATTTGTATATTTTCATTTATTTATATGCAATGCTGAATTTTGTTGAATTAGTCAATAGGGGACTTGTGTATATAATTTAAAAAAAAAAAAAAAAAACTTTCTATGATGACCAATTGACCATTTATACTTCAGATGCCAATCAATTTTTTCAGTATATTAAATTTTTAGCGGACGTAGAATTCAAACCTAGGATGCTCAAAAAAAAAAAAAAAAATTAAACAAAGATGCAAATTTAAAAATTTTATTAAATAAATTTAAAATTTTAAGAGACTTGGCTGTCCACCCACTAGTTCCGCCAATTTTGGCTTGATTCATATTAGTAATACACGGTCTCCATTTATTCAACTATAGATTATATTATTGAACTTTGCTACAACATAATCTCTTCTCCGAGAGAGAAAAAACCAGGATATTAATGGCTGAAAACCCCGTTATCAGAATTGTAGTTCCTCCTCAAAAAGCTTCAGAATACCTGTAAGTCTGCTTACTTTTCTTCTTTTACCCGCATTCTCTCTCTCTCTCTCTCTCTCTCTCTCTCATCTCTCTCTCTCTCTCTATATATATATATATATATAATTATATATATAATTTAATATTGGTTATATGAATTTTTTTGGTTGCAAAGTTACCAGAATATATATATATTTAATATTGGTTATTATTTTTGGTTGCAGTACTCAGAGCGGTACGTTTAGGTTTGATGATCTGTGCGTGAACCGCAATGGACTTCTAATTGGCCGGCGAAGCGAAACTGAAACTGGAACTGTAAGATTTTGTTTTCAATAACGATTTATTTACATTTCCACATTAATTATTATCTGATATTTTGCAAACTCTGTTGTTCATTTGTTGAAATTCATAAAATTACTTCAGGCATGAAGTTTAATATAAGATCAGTTTGACATCCATGTTACTCTTTTTTGCTGTATTTTTATAATTATATATATTTATTATTAAAGAAATACAACATAGAAGCAAGTTGCTGTAATAAAGGAACATCACAATATTTTTTCATTGAGTCCTTTTTGTTTTTGAATCTTTCTGCCTTAGATTTGTCCTCCCCTTAATGCAGAGGACTTTGAGAACAAACAATTTATAAAAATGAACTCACATGAAATTAAATTATTTATAAGGCCTATTGCTATAAATGAATTATGAATTCAATAGAATTTTTGAAATTCATTTGAAATACCACATTTTCATTGTTTAATAGGAATGGAAATATTTAAAAATACAATTTTGTGATATCTAATCAAATCCTATAGCTTATAAATGAATTCTGAGCTTCAGAATGAGGATTAAGTGTTTCGATGAGTGTTTTTTTCAAAAGGAAGGAAGGAAAGAAAATAAGTATGAAAAATACTTAAAAAAAATCGTTTTCCTTATTTGGGAAATAGAAAAATATTGAAGGAAATAATATTTCACTCATTTTTACCTAGGCCCACTTATTTTGAGTTTATCTGATTTAAAAAGAAAATAATGAAGAGAATTGGAAAGTGAAAATTTCAATTATTTTTATTAAATTATTTAAATACCATAAATTAATTAATAAATTTTAACCATTTTTTAAATATCTCATTATTTAAAAATAAATGAAGGCTTGATTGTCCATTTTCAATAATAATATTTTATTTTCTTTAAAATTTTGTCCTTTTCAAAATAAAAAAAAAAAATCATTATATCCGAACAAAAGTGTGCAAAATAGCGCAAAGAGTGAGAAGCTAGAGTTCTTTTGCCCTTTCAGCCTAGTCATTTTAACCCTTCTTGGCTAATTTGTCTGTTTTACAGAGGCAACTGAGAAGCCCATTCCTGAAGGACCTCCGGTTGAACTAGAATCAAAGGAAGAGGCACCAACCCCGAAAAGAAAATCTAATGTACTCATAGTTTCCTCGTTTTGTCATATGATTCTCTTTCTCTATTTACGAACTTCAAACATCTGATTGTACAGTCTTTGGGAAATCAACCTGGCTTGGAGGGTGAAAAAACTACTGCTTCCATGCCGAATCCTCAGATAGAACAAGCGACTCCTTCAACATCATCGATGAATAAATACATGGGTTCTGGGGTAAGAGTTTCGTCCAAGAGAAAGGATAAAGAGGTGACAAATGAACCAGAAAAAGTAGACTCGTTGCCTCCCAAGAAATCTTTGTCGGTTGTTCAGTCTGAGAGTGTCCAATCTATAGTAAGTTCTCTCCTCAATATTGATAAACCTTTAGTAAGTTCTCTTTAACCTACAGAAACCAGTATTCATAAAAACCAGAAGCCCATTTCTGTTGGTATGTGGCTATGTTCTGAGATTTTCGACCCAATAAGATTAGCTTATAAAATGTCCACAACAAATATGTTAGGGCACTCTCGATATCTTAGTGGATCCGTTTCCGGCGTCGATCCTTCCTGAAAATTCGGCTCCATTGTTCTTGAGGACGGAGAATACAACTGTCCAAGCCACTGATTCTTCTGTCTCTCAGTCAAATTCTTCACTGGCAGTAAGTATCGGCTTTCAGTTTCACTTTCAAATATTCGTTTCTTGTCTTCTATTAACCATTTCCTATTTCAGGCCGATCTTTCTAAAATAGAAGACGACGAGGCCTTTTTTCAACAGATCCTTCTGTCCTTGTCTCAACCGGAGCCTGGCATTCCTACAGCTCCCTGTTCTTCGGTCTTAGCTAACTCGAGCGAAGTTCCCGTTGGGACACAAGTGTTGAATGCCCTGGATATTATCAGGCAGATTTCGGAACGAGGGGACGATGTCTTCACTATTCCCCAATTGTTTGGCCGATTTGTTGACAACCTGGAGACTGTAGTTCGTTATGATGGCGGCGGCCAGATGGACGTTCATCGTTTGACGATCGTCAAGAGAATAGCTCGAGACATTCAGAGCTTGAAAACTGATTTCGATGCCCCTTCCGCTTTTGGGATATCCTTAGATCGAAAGGAGATGCAGAAGAAAGACTTGCATGTTCAGTGCAAGTCAACTATCCAGGCTGGGCTGGCCAAGACGATGGAGCGGAAAGCTGTCTCCGACAAAGTCATAGAGCTCGAAGCTAGACTAGCCGAAATGAAAGTGAAGGAGATGGCACTTAAGGCTGAAGTCAACAGTTTAAAAGACGAGGTAAAGGCCCAACAAGAAAACCTCCGCTCACTGGCATCCTCGATTTCAGCAGATGAGAAAGAACAAGAAAGGCTACTTAAGAAAAAAGAATTCGCCCGTCAAGCACTGCTGGACTTTAGTTCCAGTATCTTCCCGTCCGATGAGGCTCCTCGTTAATATTATCTCTTTTTTTTTTTTTTTTTTTTTGGAACTTTAGTTCCAGTAACTTCCCGTCCGATGAGGCCTCCATCGTAATAATATTATTTCTTATTTTTTTTTTTTTTTATAATGTATTCTATCTAAGCTAATGTTTTTTTTTTTTTTTTTTTTAATGTATTCTAAGCTATGCCTCTGTATCTGCCACTGTGGATCTGCTGATGCACGTTAAGGATATAGAAATAGAATTCAATTGTGTTGGGTTGTAGTTGTAAACATTGGTGGCCCATTGCTTTATGGAGGTGCTTAGATTTTTTTTTTAAATCCTACTATCAGGAATATAACCTTCCCCTTCTTTTAAAAGAGAAAGTTATTTTGATTTTTGGAGAGCCTAACATCTGAGATACCTCTTTTAAAAATAGAAATCTGCGAATAATAGATCGGTCATGGGTTGTAATGATAGAATATGATACTTATCATTGTACAATTGGCTGGTCAGAATGATCTCTATGATGTTGATATATGATATTAGGGTTTGTGTTGATAAAATATAATGTTGAGTTGGATCACCATTGTAAATCCAATGAGACAAAGATTGTTTGGAATAATCATAACAATATCAATAGTAATGACAACAATAGTAGAACCCAATTTCAATAACACCTTGTTTGGAATAAATGAATTCCACCAATAGTACAGAATATATATAGAATTTTCGTATGGTTATAATCTACTGGTCCAACACAATAATTTCAAGAATTTTCTTGCTATACAATCCATTGATTCATTTATAACGAAGCATTAGTGGGGTAAGTTTAAAAACAAAGCTGAAACAAACCTTAATCACTAAAGAAAAACTTTCTGTTCAACAGTGACCTGCTACCGCAATTAAAGCTGAAACTAAAACAGTTGCTTTGGCAGGTGATGCTGCTGCTTGCTGTGACCTCTTAATAAATGAATGCTCTAAAAGCTGGGTGGCCGTTGGACGTTCCTTTGGATTAACTTGGAGCATTTCAGGATAAAGTCCCGCGAATCAGCAGAGAGATGATCAGGTATAGAAGGCAGTCTACCTTCTCCAATCCAATGCCATATCGTCCATGGTTCTAATGACAGTACGGATGTTCTTTGGTTAACATTTCCAAGACGGTGCAGCCAAGACTCCATATATCAGCTTCAAGTCCAAACCCTCCATATTTTGTTAAATCAATGACCTCAGGAGCGCACCAGGCTGGAGTCCCTCTGCCTGACTTGCGAAGATTCTTCAATTCACTTACCTTTGCTAATCCGAAATCGGCAATTTTCACAACTCCATTCTCATTCAACAGTAAGTTTGCACATTTAATGTCTCCGTGCACAACTTTTTGCTCATGGAGACACTCCAAACCTTTCAGTATCTGTTTGGTGTAGTAGGACACTATGGAATCATTAAGGGGAAACTCTCGGTAAACTTTGTCAAGGGAACCTCCATTTACAAACTCAAGAAAAACATAGAGATTTGCTTCCTTCCTTTTTGTGCCAAAATATTCAACTATATTTTCATGATGTAGTTGACATAATAAATCAATCTCATGCTCAATTGAGCTGACTTTTTGTGCATCAGTAAGTAGAACTGTTTTTGCTGCAAAAAGGAAAGGATCAGGATCAGCAATTCCTTTATAGACTTCTCCAAATGACCCGCTCCCCAACATTGAGCCCCTTTGCCAATTCTTAATATTACGACCCAGTATTTTGACCTGCCAAGTATGAACACGTATTTTTTATACCCTTATATTGTTAGCAGATTAAGTTCTTGCAAGTCGAATAGTGATTAGTACTGATGTAAGAAAACTGGTGTTCAACATATTACAGCAAGTCCTAGCAAGTTGAAGATCAATTGAGAAGTTTTGGCACTATTGTTGAAATTAAAAGGACTTAATAACATTTCTTCTATTGTTAGGCACTAACAGTACTATAAAATTGATTTCTAGAAGAATATCACTATTGTTTAGCTGCTTTGAAGCTTTTATGATTAGGACATGTGCAATTCACCTGCTAAGTCCTAGAAAACAGAAAGCTAGTATACAGGGAAAAGCCCTTACCCTTTGATAATGAGACAACAGAGGATCATCCTCGGCTTCCCTTTTCCTTTTGCCATTAGTATCTTCTGCATTATGATTAGATCTCTTCGGTCCATGCAATACTTTATTAATGTCTTCAACCTCTAATCCTCTAAAAGACATCAGTTCTTTGATTGGCACACCAAAAACATTTTCAAAGCCATTTGCGAAACGTGACACCTGTTTATAGATAACAGGGCAAAGTTCAAGAACCTCACTGCGTCACAAGTTGAATTCAAAGAATCCCACGTCCTGTGGATTTATTGAACTTACCAGGACCTTGTTATCATATCTACTGTCCAAAGACGAATCGTTCAACTGGTCGTTCAGCTGCCTTAGAAACACGAGATCCAATGCGACACCAACTCTCACTTTATATATCAAAGCTAATGCAATCACTTTTCCAGCAAATGCCGCACATTGATGGTGGAATGGTGCTGGAGTGAACTCTGTTTATACACATGTAAATATGAAAGGAACTGGTATTAGTTTCATTATACTAAAGTCATTCTTTCAGTAATATCAAAATATTCACAATAAGCGAGTTTGGAAATTTACCGTGGTTCAGATAGAACCTAGTAAGATCATCTGAATACGACAGAAAAAGGGGATTCTTTGAGTGAATATAGCTTGACTTGACTTACACAACCAGTCCTGCAAAACTTGTGGATCTGTAAGTTTCTTATTCTTGAAATACTCTGAACAGATCAGAGTCCAGATTCTTAGACCAATCAACCAGCTCCTGAATCAACTCTACGTCAGGTTATTTTACTTCAGAGATCATCAACAAGGCTAAATGCATCCTGGATTCAGAATCAGTTACATCGTTATGCTCAAGAAGCCACCAGTGGTCATAATGATCTGTTTTATCAGCAAATCGAAGAATCAGTGCACGTATCGAAACCTTTGTCTTCTTTAATACGTCCCAAAATTCTTTCTCTGCACCCTCAAGAAATTTAGAAATGAAATTCAGTTCTTCCAAAATGGCAAGATACAGAGACCATTCATGTTGGACATTTTCTTCTTTAATCTTTCCTTCCTGTGTAAGGCCATTGATCCTTCCTTCGGCACTATGGTCTACTTGAAGTGCTTTAAGCCGCTGCTCCATCTTTATCAACAATTTATGAAATACAGAATGTAAAGAATCTATTTTTCCGTCACAAATGGACTTACTCTGTGGAATAGGAGAAGTATTCATTTCTTGAATTGCGCGACGTAAAAGGCTTGACATTTCCTTGAAGTCCCTAAAATCACTCAAGAATGACTCTGCATTCTGCTTGCTTGAAGGTGAAGTGGTGCACCAATCTAAATTCCGAACCAATCACTCAAAAACTTGCATAACTTCAGAATGATAGAAGCACGTTCATCAAGAAAACTTGTTGCCGTTTCAGCAACCATCAAATGCAACAGGTGCCTAATAAAATAATCGGCCTTCTCTCTGTATATTGTATTTTTTTATTTGTGAAAGTCAGCGAAATGCTCAATGACACAAGACTGAACCAGAGTGTCCAGTGGCTCAGGATTGTTCAAGTTGCCGAGCAAATCGTGCATGTAGCAGGTCATACATCCATAGCCGTTAGTGGATTCCCCATCACGCATCCTATGTAAAATTGAAATTATTGCTTCGATTCGATGTAATCGGATGGAGATGGAGCTGGAGCTGGTACTGGGAAATTCCGTTGATCAGCTGAGGATGAGGGTAATGACTGCTCTGGTCTGTCGTTTGCCATAACGGAAGAATAACAGGACTGATCTTAACGGCGGTGAGTGATCTATTTGCTTTGAATATTTAGTACTAGCATTAGGCCCGTGCTTTGCACGGGTTTTTTAAAGGTATGGTTTTTTTTTTTTTTTTAATTTTGTCAAAATTAAATTCCAATTCAAATAATTTTTTTAAAAGTTAATTTGTATAATGAATATTTTTAATATTAAATTCAAGATTAATTCCTATATTTATCTCTCGGGTTTAAAATTTAAAAATATTTAAATGTTAAAAGTAAAAAATATAAAGTTTCTACAAATCTAATGGTCTATTTATCCTTAATTTTTCATCTAAAAAGTTTAAAGTTATAATATTTATTTTTTTCATTGTATAAACTTTAGTTTTGGGCTTTTTAAAAAAATAAAAAAGAACTAAACTGTTAGTACAAATATTTAAAAAAAACATTCATTTACAGCTGAATTAAAACCAACAGTTTATGTAAAGTGTTTTTACATCATTAGACAAAAGGAACTTAAGTCCTAAATTGATAGCATATAATTTTCCTATAATATTAATAAATATTAAAAAGCGATTACATATAAACATTTCAAATGATAGCATTATTTTTAATTGGTTATGCAGATAATAAAAATGTAAAATATTATACTTAACATTTTCATTTAGCAATACAATCTCTGTATTCATAAAATCTTCACTATTATTGAAAGACACATCTTATAATCGCGATATCCTCACTTTTATTTTTCAATCATCTCTATTTGCATTCAAATTTTCAATTATATCATACTTTTTACTTATATTTGATAGTTCACGGCTGCAAAAATATGTTTAATAATCTTTAAAAAAGGAGACAAAAAAAATTGAAAAGTACTACTTTCTCCATTAGTGGAAATAGTTGAAATACATAAAATTATGAACTTTTAAGAAAAAATGAATAAGATATTTAAAAGCAGAAAACATAAACTTAAAATAAATTCAAACTAAATCAATACATTAATACATTGAATAATCAAACCAAAAACACTAATTCTAAATAAATTCAAACCAAATCAATAAATTAATATATTAAATAATCAAATCAAACAATGTCAAATGAAAGTCTAATTGAAAAAATATGTCACATGTTAAATTAAAATGTCAAGTGGATATATCATATGACATCTTTCTAGCAAAAAAAAATGATCGCTATATATATCGCCGGCAATTCCTCACTGTTATTCTATTCAATGCATCATTTCTATTTTGCACTTCAAATTTCAATTAATTCATTCTTACTTTTTACTTTATATTGACTAGGTCTCACGGCCGCTGCAAAACTAATATGTTTTAACTATCCTAATTCTTTTAAAAAAGTGAGGCACAAAAAACAATGTTGAAACCAGTACTATCTCTTCTACCCCCATTCAGTGAAATAGGTTGATATGAACCTTACCAATAAAATTATGAACTCCCTTTAACAAGGCAAATAAAATGAACTAACGAATATTTAAAAGCAGAAAATACATAAACTTCAAAATAAAATTCAAGCGCTAATCAATATCTATTGAACTTACACTTGAATAACTCAAACCCCAAAAAAACACTAATTCTTATGAAATAAATTCACACACCAAATCAATAAATTTTAACTAATATTAAATAAATCAAGCATCATAACCAATGTGTCAAATGAAAAGTCTAACTTGAAAAAGAATACTGTCACATGTTCCCAAATTAAAAATGGCTCAACGATTGGATACTCATCATATGAACATCTTTCTACGCACAAACAGAAAATGCATCCGCTATCTATACTATGATATAGATTCTATAATACTTAATAATATTGATTCGCCCAGCTAACAGTTTATCATCGCTGTCTCTCCTGTCTTGCGTTTCTATATATTATTAATTTTTTTTTTTGTGTCGTTAGGCGAACATCAATGCCTCACTAGCTGCCCCTAAATTAAGGACCAAACAATCTGGTCCAACTAGCTGAAAAGAATGGCACAAACTCAGGTAAGAGTACAAAAACTTTACAGGGATCTATTTCAAAAGCAAAAAACATTAAGAATAATAAAAACTGACGTCCGCCAGGAGGCGGTTGGCAAGAATCAAAAACATCACGATCTATATATTGATTAGTAACAGTATTGTGTCTTGTTTGCTGTTTTATTATTATTATTTTTTTTTTTTGTCGTAGCAAATCAATGCCTACTACTCCCCAAATTAAGGAAACATGTCCAATGCTGAAAAGAATGTCACAACAGTAAAGAGTCAAAACTTACAGGATATTTCAAAAGCAAAAAATTAAAATAATAAAACTGACGTGCCAGGAGGCGGTTGGCAAATTAAAAAATCAGATAAAAGTATTTTATTGTGCAATAATAAACATTTGAATATTTTTAAAATACAAATTGAAGTTTTAATCACGTTTAAGGGCGAAAATCTTAAGTTGGGCTTTCTTTTTTTGAAAATTAAAAAAAAAAAAAAGAAAAAAAGAGACTACTAATCATTGTTTCTGTCGGCTCTGACCATCAATGAAACGTTGGTATTCCAATTTAAAACACCACACAAACTCCAAGTTTAGCGTACCAATTTTGAATAGAAAAAGTTCATTTCATGCCTTTTCTAGAACAGCTGTTCAAGGACAAGAACTGAGCGTCTGACGCTTTAAAAGCTCCAAGAATACCAAAAAAAAATTTGCTTTGTATTTCAGCTGTTTCATTTTTTTTTTTTCGGAGAGATTTTTCTATGTTGTGCATTATATAACATTGATATGATGATTGCGAACGGACAGGGAAGACATCCTGTTCATATGTGGTGGAGCATTTTTTTGATTTGGAAGAAACCATCTCAGAGAAGTAATTCGCCTGCTTAGATTTTTTGCTTAAGACTCTTGGTTCTAAACTGCGCCTAGCAATGTTTTACTGCTATAATATTGGATTTTTTTTTTTGGTTCTTGAGTTGGTGTATCACTTTCAATTATTCTAATAAATATATTAATTATTATATTCTTGATTTGCATACTGTCTCTATTCCGTTAAAATTGAAATTGATCGCTAAAAATAATTCATCGCCTCCTTTTAGGAAATGTGAAAAAGAGATGTGGATTCGAATCTGATCTATTTTTGGATCGGATCATACATGCAACTATTATTCAATTATGCTCTAGTATGCAATTAATCCCTTCTTTGGTTCATAGTCTTTAACTAAAAATAATCGACACCTGGCTGGCTTTGCCATAAAATATATAATGCATCAGGATTCATGTCTATATAAAATGCCAATATTCTTCCAAAACCTTTAATAAATCAAAAGCTGAAAAAGAAAAATCAATTCTACTTTTGTTAAAAAGGCAAATTAAATGAAAAGAAGAAAATTTTTCTATGTCTTTTTTACCCCAATTTCGTATTAATTAATTAAACCTACATTATTTAATTAAATTCAATAAAATTAAACTTTTCTATGATCATTCTCTACCCTAATTTCTTATTAATAAAATTAGGCACGCGGGTGAAATGAGACTATTTTGACTAATGTTAGATATGTAGAAATGCGAAGACATTGCGAATCAATATTTTATTTGAACATATTAGAAGCGACAATTTGAATATTTAAAATAGCTAAGAACAAGGATATAGAAACGACAATTGGGTCTTTAAAATATGATTTTTTTTTTTTTCTTTTATCATTGAAATCAAGCCGCTGTCTATTATGACCTTTCCACCTTAGTTTCCAATTATGTTTCATCATTTGGTCTATATATATATATTGTTTACTAATTATTTTTTTAATGTTAATCATGATTTTGAACATGTAAGCCCATTCCCAGTAATGAAAATGAAATATACTGTCAACATGTGTAGAAATGATTACAAATTATATTTTTGTATATTTAAATCTACAACTTTAAAAAATGAGTAATTTTTCAAAAATATAAACACGACTTTGCAAACCAAAGCGATTGACTTGACTTGACATATGTACAACGATGGTGTACATACTAACAGTTACCTATATTAATCCTATAAATTTTTTTTTTTTAATTTGACTCCCTAAATTTTTTAAATTTTTTTTTTCTCTTAAGGTTTGATTCCTAATTCCACCACTGCTTAAAGCAATTCTCACAGTTAAAACTTGAAAGGCATAAATGCAAAGAAAAGCCCCTCCAAAAATAAATAAAGGGAAAGAAAATCGTTTCCATGACTATTAAGTGGGCAATAACATTCTATTTTCTATTTCTTTATTCTCAAAATATAAATTGTTTTAAGGTGATGGTTTTATCTCAAAACATGAGATAAGTGGCTTATAAAGTAATAAATATTTTTTTTTTCAATTTTATCCTTATTTATATTATATATAATAAAATCAATGATGTAAGATATGAATAATGATTTGAGATAAATGTATTTTGATCAAATTATTTTTTATTTTGTTAGAATTTAAAAGAATAAATTGCTTATCTCCAGTCAAAAATCTTAAACGACTTATATTTTGAGACAGAGAAAATAATTGCTTGTAGCATTAGTTATTACCAACCACTCTATTTATTTATTATCCTTAATAGACCTTATTAAAATTAGTAATACAGGGGTATTCGTGGCTTTATAATTGTGAAACGAATATTACAACGCCTAGCCTAGCTATTTATTCAACTACTACCACTTTTCATAATAACTTTCGGGATTCATAAAATAATTTATTTTAAAATATTTATCACATTTATAATTTTAATGAATAATAAATTTTTTTTCATATTTATTTTTTACATATGATCAATAATTATTACTTTAAAATAATTTGCTTGTAGCAATTTTAAGTTATTACCAACCACTCTATTTATTTATTATCCTTTAATTTACGACCTTATGTTACAAATTAGTAATACAGCGGGTGATTCGAGGCTTTATAATTGTTTGTAAACGAAACGATCTACCAACGGCCTCAGCACTAAGCTTATCTTATTCAACTACTACCACTTTTCCATAATAAACTTTTCGGGTGGATTTCATAAAATAATTTATTTTTTAAAAATATTTTAATCACATTCTTTGATACATATTTAATATGAATAATAAAGTTTTCTTTCATATTTATCTTGCTTTTACCATATGATCCAATAATTATTTACTTTAACTTTTAATAATTTTTTTAAAACAAAGTAATATTAAATTAAAAATAATATAAGTAATTTATTTAATAATTTATTTTATTAATTCTAAATAAATTTAATAATTTTTATTAAAGAGATATTAAAATTTTAAATATGGGTATAGATATCTATAAAATGCAGTAATAATTTAAATAAATTTAATAATTTTATTAAAAGATATAAAATTTTAAATATGGTAAATATTATAAAATGCAGTAATATCGGCAATATTAGTTTGTAAATAAAGACACAGCCATCGTTTGTTTCTGGAAGACAACGCTCATTTCACGCGGATGGTCTGGAACCTGAATTTAAAAGCTAGCCTGGACATAATTTTTTGTGTCTAATTCATTAATAGCAATTTATGGAAAATATATTTTTATTTAATTAATTGGACGGTGGTATACCTACCCTTTAATTATAGGAAATGGTAGCATGGTTTAATTAAACATATTAATTATCCAAAATTCTAAGATTTTTTTATGATATACTCTATTTTAATTAATTATCCTTATTTTTTTAAAATTAAAAATATTTTAATTCTTATAAAATATTAACTACAAATAAATATTCCATTCAAAATTCATCACTTGCCACTAAGTAGAAAATGCTTTTCTAAACTTGCTGTTTCAGTGTTCACATTATTCTGCAAATGAAAAGACCAATACAATACACCTCCCGCACAAGGGCCACCATAGAAAAAGTATAAAATAATCTTTACATTAGCACTTCCACCTCTAATCTAGCCCTTCCTTCAATTTCTCTTCCTGTCTCTCCGGTCTCTCCTGTAAACTCTCTTTGAAATCGGGTTCGGATTCGGATCCTCATAGTTGCTTTTGCAGAAATGTCAATGGAGTCAAGCTTTGGCTCCGGCGAGCATAAAATCGAAGGAACACCTACTCACGGTGGACGTTACGTCCAGTATGATGTGAACAGTATCCTCTTTGAAGTCTCCAGAAAGTATGTCCCTCCGATTCGTTATCTTTCCAAAGGTGCTCATGGTATTGTTTGGTAAGGTTCTTAATTACTTATTGTCCTTTTTTATCTATTGTTTGAGGTGCTCACCAGAACAACCGCTCCAGGTTTTTATCAGAAAAACTAAATTTTTTGGTTCAGTTCAGTTGTGTATGCGGACAAATGTTGTTCTGGCGGACTATAACTGATTACATTTTCCTTGCATTTGACTCAATGGCTTTGTCTTACCAACAATGGAAAGGAAGATGTGATTTTTTATTTCCTTCAGTGCTGTCAAGAATTCCGAGACAGGGAAGGAAGTTGCCATTAAGAAGATTGCTAATGCTTTCGACAGCCAGAGACGTGCTAAAGGGACTCTCCGAGAGATTATGCTTCTTCTGCACATGAACCATGAAAATGTGAGGTTCCTCGCTGTTGTGATGCTCATGAATTGACTTATTAACTTTGTCATATTGCTTTCTAGAGGTGTCTTCAGTTTTTTGCTCTGTTTGTGTCAGATATGGCAGCAATAATTTGTGTAGTTCTAAACTTTCCATTTCTTCTTCACTACACGATGCATGAGATCATTAATTTAAGTTAAATTTTCATTGTTGCAAGTAAGTATTTCGATTAAAGAAGTTGCTAGTGCATGTAATAAATTTCAATTGGTTGTTGATTTCTTCCTTTTGTTTTAATCCTGAAGGCTTAACTCTAAGCAAGACAACTCAGAAATTATTTTTTTGACCGGGTATGAAATATGCTATCACTGCTCTTTTCCACCGCGCGTGGGTGGGGGTTGGGGGGAATATTATCTTACTCTCTGTATACATATATTGGAGGAGTTATAGACTTATATCTCTCTCTTTTTTTCCTCAGATAATTTCTATCAAAGATATCATACGGCCTCCCCAGAAGGAGAACTTCAATGATGTTTACATTGTTTATGAATTGATGAAAACTGATCTTGATCAAGTAATAAAATCCAGACAAGAATTGACAGATGATCATTGTCAGGTATACACCATTCTTGTTCTTGGATCGCTTTCTTTTCATTTCTAGCTATATAAATATATATATTATATATATACTATTTTTTTTTTCTCTTCTAGTGCCGTATATATTTTTTTTTTCTCTTCTAGTGCCGCCATCATACTACGTCTGAAATTCTTGCCTCTTGCCATTGTGAACAATAACCGTCACATGCATTTCCTGTGGGGCATTGGACATCAAATTATTTTTCTCACATCCATCATCCTCTCTTTCTTTTACATTTCTTGATTTAAAGCGATGGAAACGGAATTAAAGAATAGAGCCAAACATTGGGAATATGTGGTGGCTGGTAGCAACAATCATGAATTAACTTTAGGTTGGGGGAGGATTAGTATGGCCTTTCTCTGAGCTTTACATTTTACATAAACTGTTTTTAGAGTTTAGGTGTTCCACCAAGCGTCCCATCTTAAAAAAAATTGAAAAGAAACAGAAATCCTTTGTCACTTTTGAATTTAGCGTCATAACGTGTGGCAGCCCATGGAACTATTCCAGTAAAGCAAATGCTTGACCTAATGTATTTTATTGTTGGTTATTGTCCATGAAAACAGGAATAAGCATAAATTACCAACACATTTTTTACCTTTTTTTTTTCTTTCTTTTGTAGTGCTTTCTATATCAATTGCTCCGAGGGCTCAAATATTTACATTCAGCAGATGTTTTGCATCGGGATCTAAAGCCGGACAATTTGCTCTTGAATGCTGAGGGGATCTAAAGCCGGACAATTTGCTCTTGAATGCTGAGGGTCACCTTAAGATTGCGGACTTTGGTCTTGCAAGGATAAAATCAAAAACTGACCCCATGACTGAAGAAGTTGTTAAACGCTGGTACCGAGCACCAGAATTACTCATGAAGCATTCATCAGATTACACTGAAGCAATTGATATATGGTCGGTGGGTTGTATACTTGGTGAGATAATGACAGGCGAACCTTTGTTTCCTGGTAACAAGAATAGACGTCAGCTGAAGCTTATCAATAAGGTATGTTATTGGACATTTCTCAGCAAATCTTCCATGGACTATCCTTGCAGCTATTTTTTTTTCCCTAAACTGAAAGCTTTTTATCGTTTCTAGTGGTGAAGACCTAAAATCTTTTGTTTCACTGATTTGTCATGTCATTATTGTTTTAGAGCCTTGGGTCTTTCTATGTTATGTGCCTTTTTGCATTTCTGATGTCATCGTTCTCTCTTCCACTCTTCCCTCTTCTTCTTTCTCCTCCCTCTCTCTATCCTTTTCCCTTCTGTGTCTTCCTATCTCTTGATGCATGGGTTTATTTCTGAGAGTGGTGGAATTAAATTAGCACAATCCTCTTTGGTTTGTTCTCTTGTGCTAGACAAAGCTTAATTTTAAACATGCATGCCACAACTGCTTAGAATGTTTGGAAATGAAATATTTAACTGGTGTACTGAGATATTGAATTGCATTGTCTTTATTTATAGTGTCAATTACTTTAAGTCAAATATCTAATCCATCTTGTTTTCTCTTTCTCTAGCTCATTGGTTCGCCAGATGATAATGCTCGAAGGCAAGATTTTGCTGCTAGATTTCATGATATGTTTCCAAATGTTAATGCTCGAAGGCAAGATTTTGCTGCTAGATTTCATGATATGTTTCCAAATGTTCGTAATATGTCTAAAGATGCTGTTGATCTGCTAGAGAGGATGCTAGTCTTTGATTCAAATAGGCGCATTACAGGTATTAATATAACATGATTTTAGATTTAAAAAAAAAAAATTTCCCACGAGCATCCTCATACTTAGTGGTTAAGAGACTAATCTTGTTTGGGAGTTAGCAACTGCCTCTCCCCTCTGACCTTATAGAGGTTGTTTGCTGACTTTATATGTGTCTTACCACTTGAATTATTACTTATGGGTGACTTATTGTTGATTATAATGACTGGTTTGTAGCAGAGTGACAAAATTAATTATCTCAGTGTTTATCTCCATGACAATTAGAATAAGTATAGGTGGTTTGAATTAAACCTTGTTCGACTCAATAAAAAAAAAAAATCAAATGGGTGCACCTATGTTTTAACAGGCTTGGCACCCCGAATTTCACCACTGAGAAAAACTCTCTCTTTGCACTCTCCTTCACTTTCTCTGTCATCCTTTCATTTCCATCCTCAAAATTCTCTCTTTCTAAAGTAGAGAATAACACAAGTTACAAACTGAAAAAACAAAAAGAAAAAGAAAACTCAGAACTTGATTCAATTTGAACTATCAAAACTTGCTCGAGTAAAAATTGCATAATAATCAATTAACCATGTTTGATCTTTATTAAATTCTTAAATTGGTGTACTTCTTATTGGCAAAGCTTCTCCCATTTTGTTTCCTTCTTTGCAGTTGACGATGCTCTAAGCCACCCTTACCTGGCACATTATCACAATGTCGAAAAGGAGCCTGTTTGCCCGAGTCTTTTCAACTTTGATTTTGAGGAGTCATCACTGCCTGAGGAAACAATCAAGGAACACATCTGGATTATATCTGAACAATTCAATCCAGATCCATGAAAACTTAGGAAACAATCAAGGAACACATCTGGATTATATCTGAACAATTCAATCCAGATCCATGAAAACTTATCGCTTGAGAAAATATTCCATGATTTCAATTCTCGTTGTAATCTTCCGTTTTTTTTCCCCTTTTTAAGTTAATTTTAAGAGTAAGGTAGAATTTTGAAGTTGTTGGCCATTTTGTTCCTTCAATTATAATTTTTTTTCATTCCTAAAATAGTTCGATTTGAATTTAAATGATTGAGTCCTTTACATTTCTACCAACTTCCATTGGTTTCTAATAAATTTTTCTAGTGTCTCTGTGATGATACACAGTTCAAAACCAAGGGGATGAAAAGTCTTTCCAAAATTAAGATATAATAAAAGAAATTTTAAAATTTTACTAATTTTATTATATTATAAGTTATATATATATATATATAAAGTTACATTTGGTCTCTAATTTTAATCGAAACTTACCCTATGATATGCATGGACTTATTTTTTGTTGATACTTTTGATATTTTTTAAAATAACTTTCTTTAAACGAAGTATCTGGATTTATAAATTTTTCATAACACTTTTAGTTCTTTTTAAATTCCATTAATATTTTTGGTCCCTTCGTTTTGAAAGAAATAAGGAGTTTCATTAATTGTAGTTTTTTGAAAAATAAAAGCTGCTATCACTATTAATTTAACTTTAATTTAAGATATATTTTATTTTTTTTCTTAAATTATTGATAAATATAATTACTCTTTTCTTAAATTATTATAATATAATTACTCATGCAAAAATTAATTTCGTTGGATCAAATATAAATAAAAAGTAAACAGCTTAGACCCTAAACACAACAACGACCCTAAACCGAGAAACGAGGTCACACACATTACCAAAGTTGATTCCAAACCGGTTCTGAACCGGACCGAGGTTGCATCTTAGCGTACTCGGGCATTTTTGCCGGGCACAAAGAACACCTGTATTTACAAACAAAACTGGGTTTTAGGGTGAGAGCGAGTCACTGATACAAAAGCAACAGGAGCGGACACAAAACACACATCAAACTTACTTGCGGTAAAACAATTTCTCAATCAATCAGCTCCTTTTCACGGTACGATCTCTCGGTCTCTCTCTGCTTTTTCTGTCAACGTACAATGGAAAATAGGAAAAGAACTAATTCGTTTTCTACTTTTGTTTCGCTGTTTTCTTTGCTATTGTGGTTATCCGCTTTCGATTTCGCTGTTCAGGTTAGCTTGGAGGGTTTTCTGTTCTGTAATATATTTGATAATTTCATTTCGTTGGGTTGAAGGCGACTATTTCGGGTTTCGAATGTATTTGTTAATTTGGATATATTTGTGTTTTTTTAGTTTGATTGGGAGACAGACAAGTTGCTAAAACAATTTGAAATTTTTTTAAAATTTCATTATGAGCGTGTTCTTTTCTTAAATATTTGGTTCGTCTTGGTTAATTGGTAATTCTGTTTGTGCTCATTAGAAGAAATACTTATGCTTGCTTGTGCTCCCATTTTGTGTTTATTTACACCTTTGGTTGGTGGAATTGAGGATTTTTGATTTAATTTTTGTTACTTTTGCTTTCCTTTATGTTTTACATGCAAGCATATATGGGGATATGCGGCTGCATAATTCTTGCATTTTGGTCCAGAAAATTTGTGCATTTCGGTTTACAAATTAACAGAAAATTTTTGCACGCCCCTAACTTATCTAAGTTAATAACAGACTAATGCTATTTCTCAATCCTGCCAGCGGAATCAATGAGAAGAATAACCAGCGTTACTCTACGCTCCTATAGCAGCAGCTTATCCCACCTCCTCACCTCCAATTTCATAAAACCTCTTTCTACAGCTGCTCCTACAGGTGAACCTCTCTATCACTTTGCTATTCTTCAAAAATTCTGTAGCATTCATCGTCGCTTTCTCGGCTATCTGTTAATGTTGCTTATTGTGTTTTTTATTGTTCTTTTGGCATTTGGACAGGTGATCCCAGTGGTGATAAGGGAAATCCTAATTCCTTTGAGTCCATTGATGAGTTTGAGTCGCGAATATTTAATAGCTCAGATAACAGTTCCTTTTACCGAAAGCTCGATAGAATTGAGAAAGCTCGTAAATTTCCTGGTTCTAGACTGACTGAAGGAAACAGTCGGCAGACTTTGGATGGCCTAGATGAGAGTTTTAACTCAGTATCTGATGGCATGGGTGGAAAGTTGAAGGAAGCGGCCACATATTTTGAGTTTGATCCTAACGAAATAGGCAGCTATAACTATGTTTTCAGATCAGATATGAATTTTCATCATGGATCAACTTATGACGTTAAGGAATTAGGCGCGTTAACTATGTTTTCAGATCAGATATGATATTTTCATCATGGATCAACTTATTGAACGTAATGGTAAATTCATCATGGATCAACTTATGACGTTAAGGTATGTAGTATAATAGCCGTGACACTGTACTTAGAATATTGCAGTTTGAATGTTATGAGTTTCTACAAGTATTTTCAAAGCATAAGCCTTTTTAACTATATGCTTTATGTTTCTTTCTGATTGAAGAGTTTTGATATAGAACATAAGCTACAGCCCAATCAGCTGCGGCTATGGCGTGAAAAAAAAAGTCAGGCGGACATATGTTCAATTAATGGTTTAGGTATTAATTAAATTGTATGTTGTATGCACTATGCATTTTGTATTTTTACTGTTTATAGATGTTGTCCATAATTGCATTAAGTCATACAGTACATGTTTGAACTGACTGTTAAACCTGAGACATGCTGGCGATTATGAAAGTGATGATTTTTCAATTGATATCTCTTTTGAGGAAATTCCTTGGATCATAGAAGTAGTAGGATTTCTAGGTTAATCTTGTTCTGTCTTATAAATGTCATCAATAAGTGTGCTCTCTTTTCTCTGGCACTCTTTTGCTGGTGCCGTTTTGAACATTTTGTGCCTTTTTAATGCTCATGTTTGTCTTGTCTCAAGGTTGATTGCTTTTGCAGGATCTCGATCTTAAAAGGCCTTTTTAATGCACATGTTTGTCTTGTCTCAAGGTTGCATGCTTTTGCAGGATCTCGATCTTAAAAGGCCAGGAAATCGTAAACCTCCTAGAAGACAGGAATTTGAAGTAACAACGGAGGAAGTTCTCAGAAAAGCTGATTTCCGGGTGAGCTTTGCGTATAGTTTTTGTTTCATGTGCTACAACTAGGTTTAAACTGATGCTGCTATTTATGATTTGTTTAAAGCCTGTAACTGTAAATGCTGTTTATGAGTTGCTTATATTAGTACCTGGATTAGGTTTTGTATTCCCATTGATTATGAGTTAGCCATTGCTCTTATAGCTGTTGGCTCATCAGCTGGATTGGTAATTTGGTGGGAATAGAACACCATCTTACTTAATGTAATTGCAAAATTCAGGGAGCATACATCTTGCATGATACTACTTCAATGTTACAAAATGGTAAGATGTCCGTGCTTATTGCCATAGCCAATCAAATGATCCTCACCAGTCATCAGCCTGTCTACTAAAACTAGTTAAGACAATATAAATCTCTAGAACTAGAAAAGCCAGATTAAACTAGATCAGCACATTCAATTAACTGTTTACAATCAATTGAAATTTGAAAATAAATACATCTTTGAAAACATTGAGACAAAAAGTTGCCTGACAAAAAGTTGCCTACTAATAAACTAAAAGCCTAAAACAATCCAGTTGGATTCATTCTCAGATTTGATGCTTGTAATATGTGGCAGAGAGTTTATCAGACAATGATAGATAATGAATGGGACAATAAAAAGCAAAGATTTTTTTTTTTTTTTTCTGAGGAAGTGTTTCTGTAAGAGAACTTAAGGATGTGTATGTGTTTGTGTTTTCTGTTCTATATACTCAACAGAAGAGAATGACAAATTCACTAAGAAAAAGATTCTTAAAAGAATCAAAGAGGATGTCTATATTTAAAAGCTTTTCTTTGGTCTGAAGTTCTGAATCTTCTGTCAACTGATTCTGTAAATGTCTCCATATTCATATTTGTGGCTTATAACTTGATAATAAAAACTAAGCCCTTAAGAGTATCTATTATAAAAAGATTTTGATTTTAAATCTTTTTCGAGGTAATGATGAGAGATAGTTTCCTCAACCTTATTTTTATTGTAGTGGGGATCATGGAGGTTGCAATTTTTTTTTAGATGGTGCTTATGTCTCCCTCATTTAACTTTTTTTAGCTGTGAAATATCAATTTGATATGCGTCCTTACCAATATACACCCATGTAGAATAAGATATTTTAACTATTATTTAATTAATTCAACACCTATTGTTATTTACCCTTGTTTAGTATAGATAAATCTGCATTATAAAATATATTTCAAAATGATATAATTCTGTCATAAACCCCTTGGTTAGATGCCTGGCTCCTGCTGCTTTTGTGATTCTCCTTTTGCTGCCTCTTCCTAGAATAATTTCTTAGTTGAATGCTTTTACTTTTCATTTATCATTTTTCAAAAACTAGTTCTAAACATAAAATCGACTTGTGACTATCCCAAATTAATCCTTGAAATTGTGGTGTGAATCTAAATTAAGTGGAAAGTTTTTTGTGCAGAATGTTAGATTCCTTGCAAAATTCATAACAGAGGCTGGAATTATTATTAAGGCAGAATGTTAGATTCCTTGCAAAATTCATAACAGAGGCTGGAATTATTATTAAGAGGAGCCAGGTAATGTGCATTATGGAGTGCAAATTCAAATGTTGTAATTGATTGAATCTAGATGATAAGATTATCCATATCTCTCACAGTTTTATTGTTCATTTTGTAGACTGGCATAAGTGCAAAGGCGCAGAGGAAGCTTGCTAGGGAGATCAAAACAGCTCGTGCTTTTGGTCTAATGCCTTTCACAACAATGGGAACAAAGTCATTTGTTGTTGGAGAGGAAGCTTGCTAGGGAGATCAAAACAGCTCGTGCTTTTGGTCTAACGCCTTTCACAACAATGGGAACAAAGTCATTTGTTGTTGGAAAAAGTATGGAAAATCTTGACGAGGACTTCGAATATGAGACCTACAATACAGTTGATGATGCGAATGGGAAAGATGATTTTGTTGGAGCTTAAGTAGATTTTGCTGTGATGTGGGAGTAAACTCATGCTCCTCCACCCTTCTTTTCAGAACATTTAGGGAAGGATTGCTCTATCCAAAAGCCAAGATTGTATACCATTAGATGGTGAATTGGCAAGAAAATTTTGAGTCTTTGATTTTTGCATCATCCAATTGTGAAAGTGTTAGTTGCGGCCTAATAATAACTATAACACTGAAGATGCCTTTCTCAGTCATGATAAATTATGTTTGCTATTATAATTTATCTCCGTAAATTGAAGTTCAGAGCATATAACACAAAGGACAGGTTTAGAGTTCAAGAACTCTGTTTGGATCCATGGAATTTAATCCATGAAAACATTTCATGGATTTATCCGTTTCCTTTCTTTGTGTATACGAATTCATGAATTTAGCTTTCTTGGGAATGTATTGTCAGATACTGAAAAATTACATTTTCTAGTCATTTTTCATGTGATTTCAACTGTCAAATTCTTTCTTCTCTCTAAATAATATTTGGTAAAATGCAATATGCTGGGAAAAAATAAAATTGGTTTCTAAATTATAATCTAAGTCAATACATGAGAATCTTTTATTTTCAAAAATTAACTATGAATTTTTGAACTTTTAATTTTATTAACACTTTAATCATTTGGTTCAAAATACTCTATTGATTGTCAACTGATTGAAAATTTTGTTCTAACTTGATTTTTAAATTATAATCAAACTAACTATGAAATTATTAAATTATGATATGTATCCATTTACATGTTGGTATTTTAGATAGAAAGATAGAAAAGTGTTGGTAGATTCATAATTTAAAGTTTTCATTAAGGATGGAAGTGAGGTGAATACCTGCTATATTAAAATTACCTATATCTAAATCCGTTTAAAAATTCCGATACTTATATCGATTATAAACTCATTTAAAATTTCTTTTGAAATACCTATACACACAGCCATTTAAAATTTTAACACACACATCCACACCCATCCAACTAATATCCAAACGCACCTTAAATGGGTTGGAGTACATAAGATACCCACAAAAATCTATTTTACTTATTTATGCAATACTTCACTAAGTCTGTTATAGTTAATTTTCGCATAGTCCTAAAAGATAGATATGAAAAATAAACGATAGGACTATAAAATGAAAAGTATGAATGAAAGATAATTCTAAAATTCTAGTAGTTTGATACATTTTTTAAGTAATTAATTTTTTTTAGTATTTGATGATATTAGTGATTGGAGCTTTAGGTTTGAATTTTAATTTATTTTAATTTTAATAAAATACCCAATATATATATATATATATATAGTGACTTGCCGCAAGCTTTAAAGGTTTGAAAATTTTAATTTATTTTAATTTTAATAAAAATTAACCAATATATATATATATATAATATATATAATATTATATAAATTTTTACTTGAATTTTATTATATATTTTATTTACTTGAATTTTATTATATTTAATAAATATTAAACTATACAATGAGTTTTGGTGGGCAGAAGGTACCATAACTTTACATCCACCTCCAACACAAACTTAATAAAGATAATCAATTTGATACTCATATATTTAATCAATACCCAAACCTGCTTTAAAAAATTTTTTAGGTTGGGTACCCCCACGAAACCTCAACTTGCTTCCATAGCTAGCTTTCATGTACTATTTTGACTATAATTGTATTTTTTTCCTAAAATATATAATATAATTTTGCATACAAAAATTAATTTCGTTGGATCAAATATAACTAAAACAAGTAAACAGCTAGGACTAAGCATGTAGGTCAATCCGATAGACAAACACGAATTTAGGCACTCAAAAAAAAAAAAAAAAAAAAAAAAAAAAAAAAAAAAAAAAAAAAAACCAACGGACGAGGTTACTCGTCACAAGAGTTGATACAAAATCCTTCCTGAACCGGACCGAACGTACTCGGTCTTCTGTGGGCTTTTTTGTTAGGCACAACACAAAGAACACCTGTATTTCCAAACAAAAGTGGGTTTTAGAGTGAGAGCGAGTCACTGAAACAAAAGCATCAGGAGCAGAAACAAAAGACACAAAGTAGAAACAACTATAAACAGATCAATTTTACTTTCGATAATACAATTTCTCAATCAATCAAGCTCTTCTTTTCGCGGTACGATCTCCTCTCTCTTCCCTCTCTCTTCTGCCTTTCGCTGTCAATGTTACAATGAAAATAATAAAAAAAAATAAAAAAAAAAAAAAAAAAAAGAAAATAACTAATTTCGCTTTCTACTTTTGTTTCGTTGTTTCCTTTGCTATTGCGGTTATCCGCTTTCGATTTTGCTGCTCAGGTCAGCTTCTAGGGTTTTCTTTTCTGTAATATATTTGATAGTTTCTTTTCGTTGGGTTGATGGTAACTATTTAGGGTTTCGAATGATTTTGTTCTAAGTTTTGTAGAAAAATCGAATGATTTTGTTTCAGCTGAGTTGATTTTGTTTTTTTATTTAACTTGTATGTTGCTTATATAGCCATAATGTGCGTGTTTTTTCCTTAAAAAGTTTTTGAGTTCTTCTTGGTTATGTGTTGATTCCTTTTCTATTCGTTAGAAGAAACACCAATGCTTGCTTGTGCTCCCATTTTGTGTTTATTTACACCTTTGCTTTTGTTGGGTTCATTGCTTGTGCCATCATCAAGTGTGGAATGGAGGATTTTTGATTTATTTATTGTTTTTCTTTGCATTCCTTTCTGTTCTACAAGCAACCATATATGGGGATATGCAGCTGCATAATTCTTGCAATTCCTTTTTCCTTTCTAGGTTGTAATATCAAGGGAGCATTAAAATCAGGTTTGAATTCTGAGAACACTGCAAGCATAGTTGCCAAAGATGGCGAATTTGCAAATTACTGGTATTCTGGAAAAGGTAAATTTGCAAATTACTGGTATTCTGGAAAAGGTACTGCCCAATTCAGTTGTTTAATTTTTGCACACGTGCATCTTGTTCTTCTATGTTTTATAATAGTATGTATTCTGGAAAAGTTACTGTCCAATTCAGTTTTTTAACTTATGCACGCATGTGTATGTATTAATTTGTATTCTACATCCTCTGTTGCTTCTATGTTTTATGATAGTATGTCATATCTACTGGAGGTTTAGCATTGTGCAAAGACAATTTTGCTCCTTTGTGATGAGATCCTTGCTCCTTTATACTATTTTGGCTGGTGGTGGCTGTTAATTATATGAAGCTTTTCTCTTTATTGTCATTCAATTGATTTGTCATTCAATTGATTTTGTTCCCTTTATTTGCAGATGACGGGTAAGGATAAAGATTACAGATATATGGCAACATCTGACTTGCTGAATGAGTTAAACAAGGAGACATTTAAAGCTGATACTGATTTGGAGATAAAGCTGTCAAATATTGTTCTGCAGCAACTTGATGATGTGGCTGGTGATGTCTCTGGATTGGCTGTGAAGTGGTATTCCTTTCTTTGCAATTATTAGATTTTGAGGATGTGACTAATCGAACTGAATATTTTGAAATTTATGATATTATTTTCTCAACTGGCTTTATGTAATTTCAAAATCTTTTCTTTTGATAAATGTTGAAGCCAATGAATGTCTCTTTGGATTCTGTTCCCACCAATATCATGATTTATCTTTACAGTACTTTTCCCTTGTCTGGGCTGTGGTATTGCAGTCTTGCCCCATTGGTGAAGAAGGTTAGTGAGCCATGAGTTGTAGAGATGACTAATAGGCTTTGTGATAAATTGCTCAATGGCAAAGATCAACATCGTGACATTGCAAGCATAGCTTTGAAGACAATTGTGTCTGAAGTTACAACACAATCTCTTGCTCAATCCATTCTTATTTGTCTATCTCCACAGTTGATAAAAGGAATAACTAGTCCAGTGAGTTTCTAATGGAAATGTTCTACTGATTCATCATTTTGAGGCCTCATGCATAATTTTTTCCTGATTCTTTTCTGCCTCAGGGAATGAGCACAGAGATAAAATGCGAATCTCTTGATATTCTATGTGATGTGCTCCATAAATTTGGAAATTTGATGGCAACCGACCATGAGTTGCTTTTAAATGCACTTTTGTCCCAGTTGAACTCCAATCAAGCCAGTGTCAGAAAGAAGACCGTTTCTTGTATTGGTATGATCAAGATAATTTGTTTTAATTTTCCAAAGATGTGTTTTTTGAAGGCATTTAACCAATAGTGTCAGTTCATAGTTTCTATGCTTGTTTCCCCTTTTTGTGTTAAACAAAAAGATCTAGTGCCAGTTTGGTTAAACTATTAATCTTTATTGATCAGTGTTTAAGCCTGCAACTGCTGGAGCAAGGCATTTGGTAAACGAAAAAACAGGAGCTAGTGATTGCATTTTTAACTGCAAGTTTGACATTTATAACAAGAATTTATAACAAGAAACTAGCTTTTGGATTGAAATCTCAAGATTCAATCTCTTGGATTGAAAGCTAAAGATTCTAGCTTGCGGATTCAGAATCTAGCTCTTTATAAAAAAATACCATTCAACTAGCAAAAGTTTACTGAAATACTTGCTAACAGTCTTAAAATAACATCAGTTGCATATATGAATTCTTGTGTACAAATAAAAAATAACTCAAGTTACATATGTGTATATGTGTGTGTGTATATGTACTTATAGCTATATACATAAAGAAAAACTGTATCTATTTATATGTGCTAAATACAGAATACTGTTGAAATATTAGATATAGCTGATTGAAAGTGAGCCAACCTTCCAAATGGTTAGAAAGTTTTGTTCCAAAAGTTTAGGGAACCTTTATGTGGTCTGCAGTCAACTGTGGCAGTTAGAGGTTCTAATTTATTGCAAAGTGTGAGTAGGACTGGTATGAGTTTGCATTAGCTGCTAGGGTGCCATTATGAGGACTAGACATGTTATTCACAAGTTGGTGATTTATCCTGCACTTTTAGTTCTCAATTTGGACAATTCTCTCAATGCATGAACAAAGAGAGCAGATAGGTTTTTGGAATGGATTATGTTCTTCATTTTATGAGATTTGCAATTAAGTATGACATGGTGGTTTGGATGTCTGTTTTGGGCTGCAACTTTAAATGAGAGATTCAATTTTCTGTCAACAAGAAAGGAAATTTGGCATGCCAAATATTTTCTCTTTTTTCAGTATCTCTTGCTTCAAGCTTGTCAGATGATTTATTGGCGAAGGCAACAATTGAAGTCGTTCAGAGCTTAAGAAGTAAGGGTGTAAAGCCTGAAATGACCTGTACAAACATTCAAATGATTGGTGCTTTAAGGTAAGCTACACTGCAATTGTTAGTTTATACTTTATTCCCTTTTCACTGTCCTGTGGGTATGTTTTGAAGAAAGTACACGATCTTCATGAAAAGTTAAATTTTGCATTATTTTGTGTGATCACTGGAGCTAGAACTTAAAAGAGGTTGGATATGATATCCAACATGCCAGTATCTATGCATGTGCTTGTGGTGTAATCTTGGGATTTTCAGTGCTGCAAAAAGTGAAACTTAGAGCTTTATGCTTTAGATTTCAATAATCATATTAATTGTCCAGTCATCCTTCAACGTATAAACCAAAGTATGGTTGTGCTCACAAATGTTGCTTTATGGTTTTTTAGCTGTGCTGTCGGTTACCGATTTGGACCTCATCTTGGAGACACTGTGCCAGTTCTGATTAATTACTGCACAAGTGCCTCGGAGAATGATGAGGAGCTTCGTGAATATAGCTTGCAGGTGCTGTATATCTGCCCACTCATTTTTTTTTCCCTTGATTTATTTTCATAAAATGCCTTATTAGCTTGTTAAATCATAACTGTGCTCTCAACTATTAAATTTTAACTGTAGGCACTGGAAAGTTTTCTTCTCAGGTGCCCCAGGGACATTTCTTCTTATTGTGATGAAATTCTTCATCTTACTCTAGAATACCTACGTTATGATCCAAACTTCACTGATAACATGGAAGAGGATACTGATGATAAGAGTCATGAAGAAGAGGAGGATGAGTATGTTTTCTGCAAAGTATGTGAGTTGATGAATAATGCATGTCCTTGATGAACTTGTTACTTAGTTCTGGTCCTTCTTTGTTTTTGCGGTGAGAGTGCAAATGAATATACTGATGATGAGGATGTCAGCTGGAAAGTTCGAAGAGCAGCTGCCAAATGCTTAGCAGCATTAATCGTTTCTCGTCCTGAGCTGCTCTCAAAGCTTTATGAGGAGGTATATATGCATTATCTTGTCAATCAATTTCTTGATATCATCCTACGTGGTGGCTTAGCTGGACTTTTGATTGATTCATTGCTTTGAAACTGAATATAAGCTTCAAAATGGGTGTCTTAAAAGATTTACCTCTTTTGACATATGATATATTCATGAGATTATGTCCTGATTTGTCTGATAAATGGGTTTCCTTTACAATTTCAAGATCTGGGATTAATATCATTGAACATTCAATTATCTTTTTATACAGGCCTGTCCTAAACTGATTGATAGGTTTAAAGAAAGGGAGGAAAATGTCAAGGTGGGCTGGGATCAATCAATTGTTGGTGTTTAGTTACTTTTACTCTGGCTAGTAATCTGATTATGTTTTGATACAGATGGATGTGTTCAATACATTCATTGAGCTACTACGTCAAACTGGAAATGTTACAAAAGGGCAGATTGATATAAATGAATCGAGGCATGTATCTGATGTGTTTCAAATTTCTCTACATCTCTCTTTTTGACTTGAAATTTACATTACATTGAGTTTGAATGTCACATGGTGCCCTTTTGAGGCATTTCTTGTTGCTGTTATTTGCTTTTCATTTGTTCTATATTTATCTATCTAGTTTATTCTATGATTTCAAAACCATCCTGAATATTATTAGAACTTCTAATACATAAAGGTGAATTTCAAATTGACTTTGATGGTTTATAGAGAAGCCACTGGGAGGAAAGCGTGGAACCATATTTTATGCTTGAATTTAGATATTTAATAAAATGGAATTATTTCATTTGCAATTTATTTCTTGTTTTAAGAGTTGTCTTTTGTTGAATTACTTATATGCTGCTGTTGTAGAGCCAAAGGTGGTTATTGAAGCAGGAAGTGCCAAAGATTGTTAAATCTATAAATAGGCAGCTTCGCGAGAAATCTATCAAGAGAAAGGTAGGGATTGGCCAAATCAGTCATGTATTTAGTGTGTTCATTAGCTTATAATGTTTCACAACTATAGTTGACAGCATCTCATTTGCCTGCAGGTTGGTGCATTTTCTGTTCTGAAAGAACTTGTGGTCGTCTTGCCAGACTGCCTAGCAGATCGCATTGGATCACTCATTCCAGGAATAGAGAAGGCATTAAATGTAAGTAAAATTGCTTAGAGGTGATTATCTATCATGGTCGCTTAATTTCTTACCCGTAGTTAAAGTTATTGTTTTTTGCTTTTTTTGATTCTTCATGTCACCATATCTAGTACAAATCTTCAACCTCGAATTTGAAGATAGAAGCTCTTATATTTACAAGATTGGTATTGGCATCACATTCTCCTCCTGTGTTCCATCCTCAAATAAAGGTAACAGCAATGATTCTTCCTGTATATCTTCATTGTACTTTTTATCCAAATAAAGGTAACAGCAATGATCTTCCTGTATATCTTCATTGTTACTTTTTATCAAAACTAGTATTATATTATATATATATATATGTTATATTCTAAAAATCCCTTGTCTTTTTACTGGTGAGTAGGGTGAACTAGTTTATGTGAATTGTCTCCTTTAAATCTATAGGCTTAGTTATGCATCTGTCCTTTAATTGAAATTCTTGACCTAAGTGTTTACATTTTAAATTGCTTAAAAGTTCACCCATGTTCATTAAATAAAGCATAAAAAATGCTGAACTTTTAAGCAATTTAAAAATGTAAACACTAGGTCAATTTCAATTATATCAAAACCACTTTTCTTACACGATTAATGTTAAGGAAGATTCTAATCAAGCTTTGGAAAGAAAAATTTTCTTAGCTGTTTACCTTACTTCTTAGGCGAAAAAGTTAGGAATTATAATTAAACCAATATGGTAATCCAATCCTTACAATAAAAACTTATGGTCAATTAATAAGTATAATTTCAAAAAGAAGGATTACAGATTTGTCAAGATTTAAAACTTCAAAAAGACTTTAAAATCTGAATTAAAAAGACTAAACAAGAATTTAGGAAGTTTTGTCAACAATTCAAATTATAGTTAAACCCCTACTCAGCAATGTAGTGGTCAATGTTCTAAACCAACAAGTTCTTAGGAAACACTATAAAAAACATTATAGATCTAAGCCTAGTAAAAGACTTTATCGTAAAGATAAAACTAAACATTTAATAAGAAATCTAAAAAATAAAAGACCATAAAAAAGTCTTGAAAAAATTTTTCATACAAGGATTTAACTTGTATAAATTGTGGTAGGAAAGGACACACATCAAAATATTTGTTAAATTCAATAAGAAATTGCATGAATAAAATTAGAAGATGATGTTATAAATTTAAAATTCATGAATTGTATCTTACTTCTTGATACATCAGATTCTGAGATACAAGGAAATGAAAATCAAATTGATGAACTGTGGTCAACAACTAGTTCTTCCGAAAAATCAATTAAATATGTTAACTAAAGATCAGAATACACTCTTAGAAGTAGTAAAAACTTCACAGATAATGCGATCTTAAAAGGTCAACTTCTTAAAAAATTAATCAAAGTTTTGAAGAAGATAAAGAAGTTTAAAATTAACATTACCTAAAATTTCAGACTAATACTTATGATTTAAACTACTATATTAAATAAAAATAAAAATTGGAGACAAAAACTAACATTAGAAGATTTGCATAAAGAAATTAAAGTATTAAAAAATTGAAGTCAAAGCCTTAAAACATCAGGCACAAGTACATAATGAAAAAATTAAAACAATAGAAAACCCACAGTTGGTATCTTAGTTCCTCTTCTGATTGGAACCAGATGATAAAATCACCAGATGGAATAAATGAGATAAATAGAAGATGAAGAAATAAAATCCACATTTTTCTTTTTCTTACAAGAAATAACATCTTAGAAATATTTAGTAAAATTAAACTTTACAAAATTTCACATGATTTTATTAGTAAATGGTATAGCTTTATTCGACACAGGAGCAGATTTAAACTGTTATAAAAATCTGATTTAATTTACCACATAGATTTTGGTCAGAAACCCATGAAAAACCTAACTACAGCTAATAAGTCAAATTTAGAAATTCTTGGTAAAATGAAGCAGATATTGTTAAAATAATGATTAGAAATAAAACAATATTCTTACTTCACCACAGATAAATCTATATGGTAATCTTAGGAACACCATTTATAACCTTCATTACACCATATTCTGTTAAAGAAGATTGTATTAAATTAAAGTAAAAAAGGAAATAAGCTTAGGTTAGAATTTACTGAAAAAAGCCTAGGAGAAAAAATTTAATTTTATTAAAAAGCTCATTCTATTAAAACTTTTGGAAATTAATTTCTTTAATAAAATCTAAAGAAGAAGAATTAAATTAAATTTGAGAAATCATACATACCTCCAAAGGATAAAAATCAACTCGAAGATTAAAGATTTCAAACTTAGAATTAGTTCAAATTAAGAGCATTTTATGGAACAAAAACTATGTGCAGATCATCCCAATGCATTTTTGGAAAACGTAAACAACACATGTAGGATTTACCTTATTGAAAAGGGACTTTGATGAAAAGGTCTATTACAACTAAAAGCTCGGCCTATTCAAATGACCCTGAACTCATAGACCATTGTTCGAAAAGAAATTCAAGGATTTTAGAAAGTAAAAAACTTAATTAGCCAAATCCAGAAAGTCCTTGGTCTTGTTGCAGCTTTTTTATGTCAATAAAAATGCTGAATAGAAAGGAGGGAGTACCTAGATTAGTAATTAATCTATAAAGCCATTAAACACAAGCTTTAAAATGGATAAGGTATCCATTACCTAATTAAAAAAGATCTATTAAAACCAAATTGTATAATGGCAACATTTTCAGTAAATTTGATATTGAAATTGGTTATTGGCAGATCCAGATCATCCTAATGACAGATATAAAAACAGCATCACAGTTCCTTTCGGACAATACGAATGGAATGTAATGCCTTGGATTAAAAATGCTCCTTCTGAGTTCCAAGGATCAATGAATGATATATTTTTAATCCCCATTAGTAAAATTCTGCCATAGTGTATATTTGATGATGTTCTAGTTGTTTTCTAGTAAGTAGAACATTAGAAAGAACATTTTAGACACTTAAACAAGTTTGCACGTAATTGAAATGAATGGATTAGCATTAAGTAAAACTAAAAATGGACTTATTTAAAACTAAAGTTAGGTTTTAGGCCACTATAATAAACAGGGTATTATCCAGCCATAGAACGAGCTATGGTTTTTGGGACCCAAGTTCCCTGATGAATTTTAACCATAAAAACCCAACTTCAACGTTTTCTTGGATGTTAAACTATGTTATAGATTTTTATCCAAACCATCAATTGCATGATTAAAACCATTACATGATAGGCTTAAGAAAAATGCTGGCCCATGGACAGCCCAGGCATACACAGTAGTAAAAAAGATAAAGGCCTTAGAACAGATATTCCATTATCTTTATATCCTGATCCAACAACTTTTAAAATTGTTGAAACAGATGCTTCAGATGATTGGTATGGCGCGTATTTTTAAAACAAGTACAGTAATAGAAAGAACGTATTATTCAGTTATACGTCTTGTCATTGGAACCCAACTCAAATGAACTATTCTACTATTAAAAAGGAGATTGTTAAGTATAGTAAATTTGCATAAACAAAATTTCAATCTGATTATTAAATAAAAATTTTTACTTCGCATATGATTGTTAATCTGCAAAAGATGTTTACAAAAAGATGTCAAAAATCTGGCTTCTAAAACAAATTTTGCTAGATGAGCAAGCTTTACTTAAGTATATTTGAATTTGATATTGAATTTATTCAAGGAGATAAAAAACAACAATCCAGACTTTCTGAACTCGAGAATTCTTACAAACGATGGGCAGGAAAAAGGATAAGGGCAAAGCCCCTAAGAAGAACCTGCATCACCTACTAAAGCTCTTTCTGGAGCATTCAGAAGATTTACTAAACCCTAGACACTAAAATTTCTCCAGATCTTAAAAATGGATTGAACAGTTAAGTCAATCCCCTGAAGTTTAATCGTTACAAAGTATAGCGTCCTCTTCCACAGAGGCGCCAGGTATGTCTTCTACACCTAAAGCGATCGGTACCCCGTTTCATGGTACGGCTAGGTCGTCTCAAACGGTAGGACATAAAAGACTTATCAAATCCGTGATGGCTGTGGTTTTGATTGCCAAAAAATCCAGTATACTCCAAGTATACATAAATGGTTTGTTAAAAAATCATTTTGTTATGAAATTGAGTTGAGGTGGATATAACAATATTAATTCTTGGTCTGTTTTTAAAACAATATTATCCTGAGGATTGGTCTATTTTCCTCCAAACAGATCTCTTCAAAACACTCAGGAAATATTATTCACAAATATTCTTTTGGATTGGCGGAGAATTATTTTTCAGTTGCCTTAGTATAATACAGGCTCCGTAAAAATTAAACATAATTATGATTCAAAAAAAATAAATCGATTATTTTGTATTCTTCACTTAAAATCCACAGGAATGTCTTCATTCCCAAAGGATTGGCCTAAACCCTCTCTTTATACACCTGTACAATTTAAAGTTTTTATATAAACATGTCCACAGTACTGTTTATTAATTATTTGATTACCGTGATGGCATGGGGAAAAGAGTTTTGCTATTCAAAATCCCACTGCTACGCATTCATGGTAAATCTATTTGATTACTTTCATTCCGTACCGACTGTAGAGTGCACCTAACTGGTTTAAAAGATGGTGGAAAACAAGGGTATTTCCAGATGAAATTCTCCCCTCCTCCAATTCAGGCCTTATATCAGGTATTTAAAGCCCATTATTAAACCTAGTTTTTTTTTTTTTTTTTTTTTTTTTTTTTTTTTTTTTTTTTTTTTTTTTTTTTTTTTTTTTGTTTTTTCCCATCGGAAGCCCATATTCCTTCCCTATGTAATTATTTGTATGGCCTTTCTTCACGCCCTGGGTATATCAATTGGTAATTTGCGACACTCAGTATCCGTCAGAGAAACATAAATCAGGATTCCTTAATATTTGTAAAACGGCACAGATAAATGGTGGGGATCATTCAACAAAAACTCTACCACGGAACTTAAAATTGATCTTGGATACGTGATAAATTAAAAACAGGTCTCTCCATTAACCCTATGCAACCACTCTTGCATTAAAGGATCAACCGACTTTCGGAATCACAAAAAGCACAGTGCCAAGCAAGTTAGCTGCTGCTAAAACTCCGGTATGAGTATAAAAGAATCTGTCAAGAAATGCTTCAGCATCTTTCAACAGATTTCTGATTCTCCAGTAAAACCCTCATCAAGAAAAGCATGCAGACTGTTCGCAGTAAAATATCATAAATCAAGCAAACAAAGAGGTTGGGCTGACAGGCTTCCTCTTCTTCATCACATCATTCCCACTTGTCCTCCAACGAAGATAGTATGATGAGGACTTTTGAATCCCATTATAGTCAAAAGTAAAGGCTGATACGGGCAAAAGAAAAATTAAAGCAAAAAAGCAAAGTAAAGAAAAAAGAAAAGAAAAAGAAGGACCCATGTCCTCATCTGAGTAAAAGGGCAGTGAAACCTCATTTCACCATCACTTCTCTCCAGGGTAAAAAACAAAACATTGTGACGCTACAGTTTAAAATCAAGTGGAAGACAATTCACTGTTCACTCCCACAGTAAAGGTCAAACACCTATTCAAATTCGATGGCAGACCAAGAACTGTTCATCTACAGTAAAAGAAGCATAGTAAAGATTACTTTTCTATGTTATTTTAAAGGAGCCTTTCTCTGTAAGGCATAAGCTTGAATAACCAAATATTCTAACTCTTCTCTCCTCTCCCCTAAGAGTTCTTTGTAAGCATTCAACGTTCGAAGTCTGGATTGTAAACTTTTAAAACTTGTAAGTTTAAATTTGAACATATTTTAAATAAAGTTATTTAATTTAAATTATAAACTGCTACTACTAAGCCCTGTTAAAGGCTTCCTTTCTTCTTCTCCCTCCAACATTCTGACTTAGTTTCTGGGGGATCCCAGGCTAAGGTTGCAGGAACCCTCAACCTTTAATTAAAATTCAAATAATTAAAATTGATTGAGTTAATGATAAAATATTAGTTTGTAAATTTATAAAGTATTGCTCTGTTGGTTGCACCTTTCGTGTGATCTTCCACATCAGAAATATTGTTCTTGTTTGTTCATAAACATATACTTGTTCATTCACTGTTTAAATTAAAAACGGATACTGTTTCATCTTTTAAACAGGATACTGTTTAAATTAAAATTCTTTGGTATATCAGCTTGGGAAACCACATAACCTCCTGGTGTTTATTCATTGCACTTGATAAACAAGGAAACTTTGTGCTACAACGCTAAGTACCATATGAATTATATTCATGTTTTTTAAATTTAAGAGAAAATAATATTTTGATTACAATATATAATATTAATTTTAAATATTTTTGAAATATTAATTAATTTAAATAATAGATCTATTTTAGGTTGATATGTTTGATATAATTTGGATAATATAAATCATGTTCTTGTTTGAAATATTAAATAAAATACTTAAATCGGTCGATCTTGGTTATTTATGCGTATCGGGAAAGCCTGTATCCAAAAGAATATTGTGATAATATTCCTGAGGTTTTGAGAGATCTGTTTGGAGGAAAATTACCAATCGCTCAGGATCAATATTGTTTTAAAATAACCAAGGCTTCTGATACATAAATAACCAAAGATCGGACCGATTTAAGTATTTATTATATTTTCAAACAAGAAATGGATTTTATATTATCCAAATTTATATCAAACATATCAACTAAAATAGATCTATTATTTAAATTTAATTAAATATTTTTCAAAAATATAAATTAATATTAGTATATTGTAATCAAAATATTATTTTCTTCTTAATTTACAAAAACATGAATAATAATTCATATGGTTACTTTAGCGTTGTAGCACAAAGTTTCCCTTGTTTATCAAGTTGCAATGATAGAACACCAGGAGGTTATGTGGTTTTCCAGCTGTATTATACCCAAAAGCAATTTTAATTTAAACAGTATCTGTTTAAAGAGAACAGTATCCGTTTTTAAAATTAAACAGTGAATGAACAGGTATAATGTTTATGAAACAAACAAGAAACAATATTTTCTGATGTGGGAAGATCACACGAAGGTGCATACCAACAGAGCATTACTTATAAATTTTACAACTAATATTATCAAATTAACTCAATCAATTTTAATTATTTGATTTTAATTTAAGGTTGAGGGTTCCGCAAACTTAGCCTGGGATTCCCCAGGAACTAAGTTCAGAATTGTGGAGGAGAAGAGAAGGAAGCCTTAACAGGCTTTAGTAGTAGCAGGTTGTATTAAATTTAAAAAATAACTTTATTTTAAATATGAAATTCCCAAATTAACTTACAAGTTTTAAAGTTTACAATCCAGACTCGAACGTTGAATGACTTAACAAAAAACCTTAGGGGAGAGGATGTAGAGAGTTTGAATAATTTGGTTATTCAAGCTTAATGCCTTCACAAGAGGAAAGGCTCCCTTTAAATAAACATAGAAAAGAATCTTTACTATGCTTCTTTTACTTGTAGAATGAACAGTTCTTGGTCTGGCCATCGAAATCTTGAATAGTGTTGGACCTTTACTTGTTGGATGAACAGTGAATTTGTCTCCACTTGATTTTTACTGTAGCCGTCACATGTTTTGTTTTTACCTGGAGGAGAAAGTTGATGGTGAACATGAGGTTTCACCTTGCCTTTACTCAGATGAGGACGATGGGTCCTTCTTTTCTTTTTCTTTTTTCTTTACTTTGCTTTTTTTTGCTTTAAATTTTTCTTTTGCCGTATCAGCTTTACTTTGACTATAATGGATTCAAAAGTCTATCATCACTATCTTCGTTGGGAGGACAGTGGGAATGATGTTGATTGAAGAGAGGAAGCCATGTCAGCCCACCTCTGTTTGCGTGATTTAGATATTTTACATGGAAACAGTCTGCATGCTTTTTACTTGATGAGGGTTTACTGGAGGAGAATCAGAATTCTGTTGAAAGATGCTGAGCATTTCTTGACAGATTCTTTATACTCATTCCGGATTTAGCAGCAAGCTAACCTTGCTTGGCACTGTGCTTTTTGGATTCCGAAAGTCGGTTGATTCCTTTATGCAAGAGTGGGTTGCATAGGTAATTGGAGGAGACCTGTTTTAATTATCACGTATCGCAAAGATCAAATTTTAAGGTTCCGTGGTAGAGTTTTTTGAATGATCCCCACCATTTTAATTCTTGTGCCGTTTTACCAATATAAGGAATCTGATATGCTTCTACCGGCATACTGAGTGTCCAAATTACCATTGATATACCCAGGCGTTGGAAGAAGGCCATACCAAAATTACCATAACGGGAAGGATATTGGGCTTCCGCAGGGACTAGGTTTATTAATGGGCTTTAAAAATACTGATATAAGGCCTGAATTTGGAGGAGGGAGAATTTCATTGGAAATACCCTTGTTTGCCACCATCCTTTTAAACCAGAGGCACTCTACAGGTCGGTACGGGATGAAGTATCAAAATAGATTAACCATGAATGCGTAGCAGTGGATTTTGAATAGCAAAAAACTCTTTCCCATGCAATCACGGTAATCAAAATAATTATAAACAGTTACTGTGACATGTTTTATATAAAACTTTAAATTGTACAGGTGTATAAAGGAGGAGGGTTTAGGCCAATCCTTGGGATGAAGAATTCTGTGGATTTTAAGTGAAGAATACAAAATAATCGATTTATTTTTGAATCATAATTATGTTTAATTTTTACGGAGCCTGTATCCAAAAGAATTATTGTGATAATATTCCTTGAGGTTTTGAGAGATCTGGTTGGAGGAAAATACCAATCCTCAGGATAATATTGTTTTAAAACAAGCCAAGAATTAATATTTTTATATCCATTCCTCAATCTCAATTCATAATCCAAAATGATTTTTTAAACAAACCATTTATGATATACTGGAGTATACTGGATTTTTGGCAAAACCAACAGCATCAACGGATTTTGATAAGTCTTTACTGTCTTACCGTTTGAGACAGACTAGCCGTACCATGG